TGCGGAGTGTCCAATTTGGCGTGCCTGGCAATACGTGGACATTGGAAGATGGCGCCAATTGGATCTATGGCAATATCAAGGATAATCCGCTTTTGACCGTCATGGAAGATACCGGATTTGCCGCACCCTACAATGATTATGCTTCCTTTATTGCCTATGGAACTGATGTAAGTAACATTTACACACACACAAAAACGGACAGACACAAAAGGAGCATCATATCATGTTGGCTTTGTTGTTTGAAAAAAAAATGCTGGAGAGCTCCTTTTGTCAGCAAGTTGTTCTGCACTGTTTTGTCTGATTTTTGGCGACCCTTCCAGCAACACGATTGTGTCTTGTTCTGCTCTGGAAATGGTGGCAATGTCTGATTTTGTGTGGAGATGCTTTCAGCACCATTTCTTGTTCTGCTTGGGAAAGCAATAATGGCAGTTTTCTTTTTTGTCATCATGCTTCTGCTGGAATGGAATCCCATTCCAAGCTGGGGTTTTAGCTCATGACAGTTTTTAGCACGGGTGCTTGTTTGGCTTGTTTGTTTGGTTTCCTTTGCTTTGCTTTGCTTTGCATTGCACCAGCAAGGTTTTTTGGTTTTCTGGCCAGGACTTGGGTCCAGGGTGAACATTGCTGGCATTGCTGTTTGCTGGTATTGCTGTTGGGAAAATAATGCTGTCCTGAGCAGCCTCTTTGAGGTTTTCTCCGTTGTCCCGTTTTTGTGGCCTCTGAGCCGCCCTCGTATGCATAATCTATCTGTCCTTGGATTTATCCCCAATACTCATGTGCCTTTCTTTACATCCACTTTTTAATTTTCCAGGGACTCCTCGTGGACGAGACGCTCTATACGGCAGAAGAGGAACGGTTCAGGACGGCATTGGAGGATGCCATTGCCGAGGTGGATGAAAATTTGTGGACACCGGCACATGACTTTTACACCGATGTTGGTGTCATTGGCTTGTTGCAACAGAACGGATGGTTTGTAGGACCCGAAAATACCGTCATGAACAACTTGGACCATGATATTCAGTGGGCTTGGTTGGATTGGGAATGGGCCACTTCCGAGGTCAGCCTCCGCTTTTTCCCCACGGCTGCCTACGAATCTCTCATTGTAGCCGATCCACGAGGATTTGAATTTTTGCTGCAAACCTACTTGCAACAAAATGCCAATACGACCAGTTTGCGGACCGGCACAAGAGCCTTGTCGGTTGCCTACGATGAAAATATCCCCTCCCAAGGAGGCAAAACCTACAAGGCACGAGTCCATACCAACAATGGTGCGCAGTGTACGGATTATGTGGCACAGAGAGTCATTTCCACCGTGAGCGCGGGTGTGTTGAATGCGGGATTGATCCAGTTTCAGCCTCCTCTTCGCTTCCCCGCGGAAACCCACAATCCCATGAAAATGGCCCAATACATCAAAGTCACGTACCAGTTTGAAAATCAGTTCTGGGATGATATCGAGTTCATTCGGGTTCTACGAGAAGCGGGTCAACGTGGACACTGTAATCATTGGCAAAACATGAACTATTTCATGCCGGGAAGTAATATTATTCGGTACGTTTTTCGGGATGGACCAATGTGGAAGAGTTTTTTTGATTCCACGTTTTTGCTGACTGAATCATTTGCTTGCCATTGCTTTCCTTGGCACCTCCTCCTATGCGAATTTATTTCATCAGCTGTGAGCTCATGACAGAGGCATTTGAAGAGCTCCTTCAACAGGGCGGACAACGCAATTTACCCGAGTCGACAATCGATTCGTTGCTGGACCCACTGCGATTGGTATATGGCGCCGACGTCGTGGGAACTCCCATTGCCACGTATGTCAACAATGTGCACACAGACGTGAGCTTTGGATTTGGTGCCTATTCCAGTTGGGAGATTGGCTACACATTCACTCAATTTGGTCAGTTTTATGGAGGGATAGACTCGTTGACGGCTTATTGTGAGCACAACGGATGCAATTCACTGCAAGAATGGATTTTGCATTTCTCTGGATCCCACACGTGCTTTGATCAATCCGAAACCGTCCATGGAGCCATGTTCGCAGGGCAACGCAGCGCCAACTTTGTGCTCAGTGAGCTCGGCTACAACGTTGACACGGATAAAAGTCCCTGTGACGTTGACTGGGGCTGGTTGGCCCGGTAGATTGGATAGCTTTCAGTCAGGCGGCGGAAACGTTCCCAATTCATGGCATGGACGGGTCTTTTGTCACAGAATTTCCGCTTGCGAGGCAGCGAAATGATGAGAGAGCATGCATGGATGGCTGGAACGTGACGATCACTGAACTCCAGCAAAAGTCGAGACGAGGGCGGGAGTATTGCTCGACATGTACAAGTAGAGAAAGGTGGCAGTTCTGCAGTGCCGTTGGTGAAATCCAAGTGATCGAAGACTGTTCAGCTTGGGACGAAACCTCAAGAATTTGTTTTGCATAGTTAGAAGGAAGAAGCGAACTATAACTTCCATGCATATATTCATAATAAAACATGCCCAGCACTCAATCTCGTTGCACGGGTTCGTCTTCTGTGGTCAAGTACACCTCTTGGGCAGTCCCAATATGGTTGCCCCCACCAATCCCTTCTACATGCATTCTGTTCCATCTTTTTGCTGGGCATGCCTCCATTTGTCCGCCCTAACTGGTATCTCACATGCCAACTCCACCAACCCCGGTTGATAGTCCTTGGTTGTGACATGCTCCAATACCTGTTCCGCTCGTTCCCCACAAATTACCAGTGCCATTCCCGCGGCATCCTTCACGAGCCCCAATAACCGGCCATCCTGTTCCGTCGTGGTGACTTGTGGTTGTAAATTTCCCAGCAACCCCAACAATTCACTCATGATTTTCCCTCCATGCCGTGGCATTATTGGGTAGGCCGCCTGCATCAAGTGGGTCAATGCCAAGACGGAGGGACCCAGTAGTTTGCGCGTTTCGTTGAGTTTGTCGTCGTTCGTCATCATGCTGTCATCGAGTTGATCGACTCGATACCCGGCACTGAATCGTACAATGGGCAGCAATGCCTGCAACCCCAAACGTCCCACTTCGAGGGCATCGATCGATGTCGTGCATTCGGGCAGCGTCGCATGCTGTTGCAAAAGTGGAATAATGCCTCCCACGAGGAGTGCCCAGAGCAATCCATCGGGATCGGATACTTTATGGCGGTACTTGTCGAGCAACGTCAGAAAGTAGCGCGTGACTTGACGTCGATGTTTCACAAAGACTGGGCGATCTCCAGCCGCGGCTTCGCACAACAAACTTTGGGCTCGTGCCAGGAGGCAAAAGGGCGGTCCTTCGCGACATGTTTGACAGGCCAAGTCGAGTACGGGCAATAAGCTTCCCGCGTACTTGGCAAAGAGAAATGGATCAGTTGTTGATGTTGTCGTTGTTGTAGTGTCCTCCACAGAAAGCAGCGCTTGGGACGTGTTCTTGGGTGGTGGAGTCATTGTTGTATTTGCTGTGATCATTACGAGATGTATCAAGGCGGCTGCCCCCATGCCGACATAGTACGTCTGAAATGCTCCGAGCAATTCATAAATGATGGGAAGTATTTCCTCCAACACTGAATCCTTCACCATCATTGTGTTGTCATCAAGTAGGAGAATGTAGTGCATGACGACATGAACACGGGAGGGAATGTCTTGGTAGGGTTTTCGGTCGGGCAAGGTTTCGTCTTTTTGTTGGACAGGGACCTCCCATCCCAGCATGAGTTTCGTCTTTTTGTTGTAGTGTCTGGTGTCAACCAGTTTGTCTTGGGCCAATAATAAGGGTGTCACGTCTCTGGCAAAAAAGTGTGCCCGAACCGCCTTGGCCACTTTGGTGGGACCGAGCGCCTGGAGGCATTCTCGCATGATTTCTTGGGACGATGACTTGTCGTCGTCTGTCTTGGGATTCTCTATTCGTAGCAGAGACGGTTGCGAATTGTGGCGGTCCAACATCTGTGGTAGCAAACGTTTGTGAAGCTGTTTCCAAAACTCTTCTAAAATGTCGTCGTCTTGTTGCGTCCAAGGCCGTCCATCGAGTTTGAGCTGATTCCAAAAGTTGTCCTCGGTCCAATGAAATCCCAAATTGATATATTCACTTGATGACGATACAGTATCGGTTTGAAGTGCTGGAATGGGCGTGTACAAAAGCGCAGGATGTGGCCGATGCACCATGAGAATGCTTTCCAGAGATGGCACCACATCGCGTGGATCCAAGCGTGGATTGGTTCCAAAGGCCAACAGGGCAATGGCGCATTTCAACAAAGTCGTGGGATCGTCTAGTAGGGGATTGTCGTAGCAACAGTCCAATGACGCTGTCATGATTTGAATCAGAGTGGGAAGAACCGTATTTGCTACCGTATGGCAGGATACCTCTCCTTTTTCTTCTTCCTCTTTTTCTTCTTCCGCCAGTATGACGCAAATTTTGGTGCACGTACTCACATCCGTAGCCATGGCGGACAAGGCAGCTGCAAAAGCAGGTGCTTCATTGTTGCTCTTGTTGTGGGTAGCATCCTGCGAGATGGGGGATATTTCCAAAAGACTGTTGTTGGCAAGTAGTAGCGAATTGTCATTCTTCTCGTCATTATCCGCTTTGTTGTGCCAATGGTGCCGTAACTGTTGTATCAGTAGCAGATAATGCTGCAACACTGGAATCCCCGTAGGCTCCACGTAAATGTGATTGGCAGCATTTTGCTGCAATAGAACTGGTCGTATATGACTGGGGTATCCTTCTATCAGCTGTCTTATCAGGATATTGATGTCTTTTCCTTGGGATAACTCGTTCACCCAATGCGCCACTACCGGTGGAATCACAAGGTTGGAAGAAGATAGGACATTTCTAGGGGTAGCATGGATGGGGTCGCTGTAGTGCTTGACCAAGGCAGTCAATGCCGCTTCCACTCGTTCGTCGACGGGCCCAAGCTGTTGCCCATCCTCGTCGTCCTGCTGATCGTGCTGAGGCTCATCAATGGGAGAACATGGAGTGTCCGAAGAGTCTATCACTTGGATCATTATTGCTCTCGGTTTGGCTGAAGTGAAAGAAACTGGTGGTTGCGACGTGTTGACCGATTTGCTGCCCTTCCAAAGCCAACGGAAAGTATCTTTATGTGGAGAGATTGGGGTAAATAATGGATAATGCTACCTGAATAAAAACCTCAACTAAGTTTACAAAGAATCGGGGTTCCAAACGTGTATTGGAATCATCAATCCCTTGGCCAGTAACTACGTGCAACAGAAGAGCTGGGGCAAACTATCTATCTTTCTTGAGCCTTCAATCCACGGGGACAGTAAGAGTATAGCTACCGGTACAGGCATCATGCAACAACCACAATAACAGCAGAGTCGTCCCATCAAGGACCAGGTTGGAAAGACGTTGGAAGAAGTTATCCCAGGTGATGAGCACTAAAGATGAGGTGGTAGCCACATAGTAGAAATACACGGCCGTTGGATTGCCTGAGAGGAAGCCAATGAGGCGGAATACTAAAGTAGGCCTTCGAGCTGTCATGATCCAGGTGCTTTCCAAAGTGCTTGCTTAGCACGAGAAGTGCTCGAATGTAAGAGTCCATGGTTGACAGGATGTCCCTCCTACGAATTCAACAAGCACAAAGTAGGAATATCCAACATTCCTCGAAAAAATGGTAACATCATCCACCATTCCTCCAGCACGAGTTGAGGAATCATACAAGTTCTCCTGCGTTCCTTTATACACCTTCAAGTCATAGTTGACCTCTTCTGGAACTGCCAAGGTGACACGATGTGTGACATCACTGAGGCAGCGAGAACCACTGGTCGCTTCCGCTTGGAACCATTGAGACGTCAATCCCTGGAAGCTATTGAAAGTTTGGAACCCATCTCCTTCAAAGCAAGCGACCCCAAGTAGGTCCTCACAAAAGGTGTCTCCATCACTCGAGCCTGCATCAGAAGGGGTGGTCAGGTTCCAAAGGGTCTCATGCGGTACGCCATTGCAACCTGGAGGAGTAACAGTAGGCATATCGGTGCCAAGCAGTGCAGAACTTTCCATGGTTGGAACATTGGTATCCAGAGGGGAGTTGGCAGTACCAGGGCCAGCACCAGGGCCACCAGGGCCACCAGAGCCACCAGAACCAGGAGGGAAAACGGGGGGGAAGTACTTGTCGTAGTTGGAATATTGGTACCTGCCGGGATAAAGTCAGGGACACCAGTCACTGGAGAGTCAGCAGTACTAGGAGGCAAAACAGGGGGGAGCGTAGGGGCGAGAGTAGCCCCCGCCAAGAGCATTGTAGGCTGTGCTGTTGACGTGGTCCGGCATGTCCTTGGCGGACAAGAGCCGAATTCTTGGATATACGCTGGGTAGTCAGACTCCTTGCACTCACTGACACAAGCTTCCAATTTCTCTTGCATTTCTCGCAGATATTCGACTGTGTGAGCCTTGAGGTTTCGCTGGAGCTCGGTGAAACGTTCCTCTGTGACTTGCATTCGGGCAATCTCCAAGGGAGAGACTCTGGTAGGGCTCAAAAAGTCACTGAGAGGACGAAGCTGATAGCCACCAAAATCTCCAAATGGATATTTGTCATTTGCAGTGAGGGGTCGAGAAGTTGAGATATCCACAATGAAATCACATTCGGTGGCCTTGAGCTGGCATTCTGTTTTCCCACCAACGGTTGCCGGCTCTTCCGTGAAGTCGCGATACTCAGATCGTAGCTGTTGCAATGCCCGAATAACATTGGGAGAACAGGTCGTGTCGTCAATGGTCCCTGGGGCGTCGGGAAAGCCAAGTCTACTCGCCTCTGCTTGTGTTGCAATTTCAAAGCACGATTGCGAGTGCACGATGCTGTCAAATGTGTTGTCGTATTGAATGCTGTCAAGGGGTAAACGGAGTTCCATGAACGCTCCCATCATGGACCGCACCACAGCAAAGGAACCATAGCGATCAAAGATTTCGAATGCCATTTCTTTCTGAAATCCACCGTTCAGATAGTTGAGAAGACTCTGCCGAAAAGAGGGCGAGAATGTCACAAAATTGGTCTTTTCTGAAAAGTTTGTCACCTCCACCTTGGCCAGTCGTTTCGCAGCCGACGTGGTGAACAACTTGCTGTTGGGATTCTCATCACTCAGATAGAAGAATAGACTGACTTGCCGTGGGTCCGCCACACCACTGACTTGTTCGGCCAAAATCTCCATTTCTTCTGCCAAGACAGAGATTTCACTCGTCGTGTCTTCGTCATAGAGAATGGAAACCGAACGTTCACCGCGTCGTTGCGTGGCATAACTCTTCACATCCATCACAAACGTTTCCCGCGTTGTTACTGCTTCCGCCTCAAGCACCGTCACATCGTAGACATTGGTATGGCATCCCTCTGCGTACAGCTCAAAGGGACTTTCTTTCCATCGGTTCGAGACAATGTCAAAGCCCCAAGTGGCATTGCTTCTTTGCTGCAATAGAAATTCGACCACGGCTCGCGCCATTGGATCGTCACACTGGGTTATGCGAGGAGACTGATTGACAAAGAGATCCATACTAGTGCTATCACTACCTGGAACACACGCTTGCAGACCGATGCGGTCACTCTTGATTTGTGAAAAGCACCGACATGTGGTTGTGCCCATGGGAATGCCAAAGAAACGCGAAGGGCAGCGGAGACTACATTCCAGAGGTGCCTGGTCGGGACCACAGAGGAGCTGATCCGAGTCGAGTGTATCAACATCCTTAAAACATCCCGCCGATTGGTATGGTGATGACGGCGAGTCCACGGGAATCACGGCCGTCAAGTTGCACTCGTCCAAAAAGGCGGGAATGTCAAGTGGCGTCGACGTCGGTGCCAAGGAAATGGGCGTGTAGTTGCCAATGGTGACGTTTAGAAGAGTGGTGGTGGTGGGGGTCAATGTAGGGACGGGAATTACCGTAGGAATAGGTGCTGTTGTTATGGCAGCAGTGGGTGCTGGTGTGTTGGTTCCACCTCCGGTATTGCCTGTGGCCAACACAATGGCCACGACGGTGACAATAATGACAATGGCAAAAAGACAAATGAGACCCACAATAAATATTTGGAGGCTTCTGTTCTGCAAATAGTCCGAGAGGCCCGCTTTTTGGGCTTGTACCAACACCACAGTTTCATCCTGAAATTCATTATTGCGTTGGTCTTCCTCGTCATCTGGAACCAAGGAAGCTTCAATCAAGGGATCCTCCTGTTTATTGTGCGGTTCTTCCTCATCATAGTCGATAATGGGTGGTGAACTCTGCTGTGGAAGAGGTACTCCAATCGGAGGCCCAGGATCCATATAGGCCCCAGGTGGCTTGTCTTCTATTTCTGCTGGCGGCGGCATGGCTGGTTCCACGACAAGATGAGGGGGTGCCGTTCTTTGTTGTGGTGCCGCCGAATGCCGAAATTTTTCAGTCGGAAAGGAAGTACGAGTGGTTTTTCGAGGTTGGACGGTAGACGATGCTGATACCGAAGTGGCTCCCACAGGAAAAGTTTGTCTGGATCGTTGTTGCTTCTTGGCTTGTCGATCTCGCTGATCCATTTGTCGGGTCATTTCTCGTACTTGTCGCATATCTTCACTACGGCTGGTGTGAGATTCGTCCGTCATGGCCACGGCCATGTTGGGAGGTTCACATGGACGAGCCTGACTGGCTCTTGCTGCCTTGGCAACTGCCTTGGAAATGGAGTTTTCAATGTTCCGCAAATCCTCCTGGGTTTCCATTTGAAACACAAAGGTTGCTCCATCACGATCGGTTATGGAAAGCAGGAATTCCTGGCTTGTACTAGTAGTGCTTGTGTGATCCACAATGGAGTGAAACAGAATGCGAGTCTTGCCACTCGTGACGAGATCTTCCTTTTGATGCCCGTCCTCGTCAAAATAGCCAGCCTCGTAGAACACCAAACGCTTTCGTTTCAACACCACATACCCATCCTCTTCCCCCTCGTGACCTACTCCCATGTACACTTCCATTGTTATTGTTATTGAAGGATAACGACACCAATACCGGCAGCTACCTTTTCTACTGCCTCTGACTTCCGTGACTTCAGAAGACAGAAGACTGCTGCACACAGCTGTACGATCGAGTGACAGTGGGACAGTGGTGGGAGGTGAGGGGCTTGGATTCGATCATGAAGGTGCATTTTTTCTTACTCCCCCTTGTGTCAATCCAGCTCTGCCGTATGCTTGGAAGTGACACATGCGGGAAATGGCGGGATGGGTCGAGCGCGTGCCGGTACCAGTACCATGCAGCACCGCAGATCCGATCGTGCACCCACCACCGCAGCCACTGCTTTGTCTCGCTTCGCCCCCCTCACTCCTTAACGTGCATCAGATTCTATTTAGTATCGATCTATCTCCTGCAACGACGGTCGCGGAGAAGGCAAAAGGCCAAGCTCCGCGAATTTTATTGAAATGGGAATGTTGTACGGTAGACGAGATTCATACACTGGACTGCCTGCGACTTTGAACCAATGTTGCACTTTGAATCACCAAACAGATTGGCTTCGTTGGAGGACTTCCATGGTGGCAAAATCAAGAGAACTCATTCACTCGTGCACGCGATTTGGATCCTTTTCGCGGAGATCTCGAGAAGGTACGGAGACCACCCTTCGAACGATCGTAACATCTGCTGATCTGCAGCACGGAAAATGCTTGGGGCTTGAGCGTCGGTGGGAAAGGTTTCTTCGACTCGTACCGTACGCTGGGAGGCTTCGGAACGATCGATCGAACCGGTCGTTGATCTGTCTTTTGTCTTTTGTTTCTGTCAAGGCGCTATCCGGAGACGCGCAGGGATAAGACGCTGGTTTATGCTTCGGTAATCAACTCGACCACACGAATCGATACCCCATAGTGCGTTCACCATGGTGCTATTGAATTGTCGATACTATCTACGTGTCGTTGCTTTATACCGGCATTGAGATGAGTGCGTTTCTTGCTGGTTGTTGCTCGAAGGTTTTGTGGTCTTGTTGCGGATTTTCCGTCGTGAACTTTCGTTTCTGCGAGTGCCATTGGAATTGGCCGTGGCTGTTGTTGTCACTTTTATTGTTGTGTTCTTGGATTGGTCTACTGCCATTGCTTTCATCCGTCATGGTACTGCTGGAACCTTGAATTTCCGTAGTGTTGTCAACCACAGGGCTTGTCATGGTCATGTCATGTCCGGTTTGGTTTTTCTTTTGAATTCTGGCATGCGTGTTGTTGAACGACACAACCAGCGGCGACACTCCTTCCCCTCCATGAGTGTAAACTGGCTCCTCGTCCTCCATTTGGAAAACTGGAAAACTGGAAAACTGGCTCCTTCTCGTACTTCCTCATACATGTACCTCCTCTTCCTCGAAGCAGCCTGATAGCTACCGTAATGCTGGAACGGCAGCTTTGCCTTCAAAAACTGTAGAGCAATTTTATTCTGGGGTCACTGATTGTTTCAATACAGATGTTCAGTTGTGGGACTGTGTAAACTCCTGATTGTACTACTCTAGCTAGCTAATAGATTCCCAATATCCTGATATTTTCTACTCTAAACAACTTCAGTCCTACTTGCTAGCTAGCGAACCAATTCTCAATCCAAACTGTTCCCATGTGGAAGCTCCAGCAAAATTGACTACTTCTGCTCTTTTTTCTTGGAGTCTTCGATCCATTTCAGGCAATCCTTCACATCAGGATGCTCAAGTCCAAACATAGGTTGAATAATGGACAAGGATTCTTGAAACTTCAACAACGCTCCAGAATAGTCATCCATCTCATGCAGAACAAGCGCAATGTTGCGGTAGGTGGTTGCCACAACAGGATGATGCTTGCCCAATGCTGACAAATCAATGGAAAGAGTTTCTTCATACTTTGCCAAAGCATCTTCATTGTTGCCCATTTTATGCAGGGCAGAACCAATACCGCTGTATGTGGTTGCCACATCAGGATGATTCTTGCCCAATGCTGACAATTGAATGGCAAGAGCTTCCTCATACTTTGCCAAAGCACCTTCATAGTCGCCCATATCATCCAGAACAGTGTCACCCATATCATCCAGAACAGAACCAATGTTGTTGTAGGTGTTGCCACATCAGGATGATTTTCCCAATGCTGACAATTTAATGGCAAGAGCTTTCTCATGCTTTGACAAAGCACTTTCATAGTCACCCATGCAGGAAAGTGCCGAACCAATGTTCATGTAACTGGTTGCTACATCAGGATGATTCTTGCCCAAGGCTGACAATCCAATCGTGAGAGCTTCCTCAAACCTGGACAAAGCACGTTTATAGTCTCCCATATGCTGTAGCACAAGTCCAAGATTGCCATAGGTGGTTGCTGCATCAGGATGATTCCTGCCCACTACTGACAATGTAATTGCAAGACATTCCTCATACTTTGACAGAGCACCTTTGTAATCTCCCATATTCTTCAGAGCGACCCCAATATTATTGTAGGTGGTTGCCACATCAGGATTGATTCTTGCCCAAGGCTGACAATCTAATGGCAAGAGCTCCTCATACTTGGACAAAGCACCTGCATAGTCACCCATATCATCCAGGATGCAACCAATATTGTTAGTGGTGGTGGCCACATCAGGGTGATTCTTTCCCAGCAATGACAATCTAATCGCAAGAGCTTCTTCACACTTGGACAAAGCACCTTCATAGTCACCCAAATTCTGTAGCACAAGCCCAATATTGCCGTAGGTGGTCGCCGCATCAGGATGATTCCTGCCCAGTACTGACTGACAATGTAATGGCAAGACATTCCTCATACTTTGACAGAGCACCTTCATAGTCGCCCATTTTCTTTAGAGCAACCCCAATATTATTGTAGGTGGTTGCCACATCAGGATGATTCTTGCCTAAGGCTGACAATCTAATTGCAAGAGCTCTCTCATATTTGGACAAAGCCCCTTCATAGTCACCCTTAGCATGCAAGACATAACCAATATTGTTGTAGGTGGTTGCTAAATCAGGATGATTCTTGCCCAATGCTGACAAATCAATGCCAAGAGCTTCTTCGTACTTTGACAAAGCACCTTCATAGTCGCCCATATCATCCAGGACATAACCAATATTGTTGTAGCTGGCTGCCACCTCAGGATGACTCTTGCCCAATGCAGACAATCGAATGGCAAGAGCTTCCTTGTGCTTTGACAAAGCATCTTCATAATCACCCATCTCTTTCAGGACTGAACCAATATTGTCGAAAGTGTCTGCTGTCAATCTATGATTCTTTCCCAAGACAGTCTCACAAATTGTCAGAGCAGTCTTGTGGAGTTTCATGGCCGCAACGTGTTCTCCATTGTGCTTGAGAATATTTCCAATTCGGTTGCAAAAAGCCACGTAGTCTTCATTGTTGGTGTTTTCTCTTGACCTCACCAGCTGAGTCAAGACACCTTTCATCCATCCACGCAACAAGTCATTGACTTGATTGTTTAGCACAGAGTATCCAACATCCGATTCTACTTGGCCAAGAATAGCCAGCCTGTCACTCTCAAATGATGCTTTGGCATTCTCAACTTTGGTGTTGCCAAGAGTCTCATAGAGAGCATTGATGCCTCCTCCATTATCAACAACATCCTGCTCCAGAGATTGCTTCTCCTTGGGTGGCATGACAATATCTACCGTGCACTCAACTGTGGTTTTAGCTGTAAAGATTTCAAAGATGCACCAAACTCGAGTATTGTACACTGGTGCATGCCACGGAGCCATCATTGCCAGCAAATGACCAATTCTCTTGACTCGGTCTCCAAAGATGGAGACAAATTCGTCAGCGGAGACCAGCAAACCCGACTTGGATTTTTCTACCACCCTGTGTTGATTGACGCAGAGACAGCAGATCCAGATATAGGTTCTCTTTGGATTGAGATTGTTTTGGTGGCAGAAGTCTGTTAAAGTATCCACAATATCTCCAATCGAATAATTCCATGAATAACTGAGCATTTGAGTTGCCTCTCCGACATGGTCCTCACCTTGTAGAGAGTGGACGTAGGCAGCACCCATTTTCCCATCGATTGGGCAAACAGTGTTGACACTCTTTGTGCGGATGACCCCAGGAGGACCTTCTAAATCCTCAATTTCATAGATGCTGGAGTCTTTTGAAAGAAATTTTCCTGTTGTGGCATTCTTTTTTGCCATTCCAACCTCTCTCTCCAAGAAGATATGCTGGAGGTGATGGACACTGACTCCTAGAGTGTCCAGCTCTGGCGTGGTTGGGATTTCCTCTGTGCGGCTGGTTTTGGCTTTTTTGGTGGGAGGCATAGCAACGGCATGATCATCGGGTACTAGACAAGCCCTTTTCATTTGGTTTGTTGGAGTGTCGCTTGAAGCAGCGCCAATGGCTGCTCGAGCCTGACCATCCGACATTGAATCTGGCTTGACTAATTGGTGTCCATCATTATTGCCTTCTGGTTGTTGCTTGTTTGAGGAGTTCTGAGGGGTCCCCACCTTGCCTTCTTGTGGATCTTTTGGAGCATCCATTTTAAAATGTTAGAAAATGAGAAAACGTGTCTTCCCACGGAACCTAGTCCTGAATTTCGACTCTTTCTTTGCTCGAGCCTGACTCTCGTCAATCTAGCTAGTCGCAGGGTTCAAAATGACGGAACAACCACAGGCCGGCACAAAAGAGGAAACATTTGAATGAAAGGGGTTCCCGACGTACGTTGGAGTTCTAATTTGTATTATAGCCGCTGTTGCTGTTGCTGTTTTGAATCGGGTTTACTATGGATTAGAGAGAGCTAAGAGGAGGACGGGGACAGAGGTCAAGGGGGGCACGACGCAGGAACGCAAGGCAGGCAATCAAGGGCGCAAGCAGGGCAACATGGAAACCAAGGATAGGGGTGAAGGCAGGAGGGCAGGGAGGAGCAAAGGAGCAAGACTAGCGGAAGAGATCGAGGGCACCACAGTCATCCCAACGCTTGGAAACCTTGAGAGCGGAGACACGGGAGCCTCTCAAACACAATGTCGTGGCACGGGCAAGAGCTATGCTCAACCTGGCCGAGATGAAAGAGCGAACCACAGAGTAGGGCTTGGACCACTTGTGAGCCAAAAGCTGGGAGAGCCGTTGGAGAACAGCAGTAGCTTCGGCAGCAAAGAGGCCATCAGCAGAAACAACTGCTGTTGCTGTTGCGTGTCAAGATCGCGAGTTGTGGATCCTGCTTGACAGCTCAACCGGATTAAGCTTTTGGATCTTCTCTGGACTCTCTCGAGATCTCCCCTTACGGGAAAATTTTTTAAGCTAGAAGTTAAAAGGATAAAAGAAGTTGAGCAACATACTACAGTATACGCTGTACCTTTCTCTGCTCTCAGCTTGATTGATGTATCGATTGAATCATTCGTCTATCTGTCGTTTGATTCTGTGGTAGAAAGAGAGAGAGAGAGAGAGTTTGCCATGACAAAGATTTCCTCGATGAACCGCCACGGTTGTCCCAGCTGGTCTCTGGTTGTTCTGTTTCTTCTTCTGTTGCCACTTTTCTCTGGTGCCTCTTCTTCTACTACCGGTACTACTACTAGTAGTCGAGATGATGATGAGAAACACCAGTATCACATTGGCGACATGGAATGTCATTTTTTGGAACAACCGTTGAATCATTTTCACGTCCCCAAGGAAGAGTCTCCCACGTACCGACAACGCTACTGTATCTACAACAAGTTTGTTGTTATGACCAGTACGGCTCCCGTCTTTTTCTACACGGGCAACGAGTCTCCTCTCGAGCAGTACATTAACCATACCGGCTTGATGTGGGAATTGGCGCCCGTCTTTGGCGCGGAAATTGTATTTGTGGAACATCGCTATGAAGGTCAGAGTTTGCCCGCCTTTGATATCCCCCACTGCCTCGCGTATTCGTCCAGCAAACAAGCGATTGAAGATTATGCGCGTTTTTTGGAGTATCATCAATTCCTCAATACAACTACTACTACAGCTTCTATAAGAAGACCCGTCATTGCCTTTGGAGGATCCTACGGAGGAATGTTGGCGGCTTGTTTTCGCATGAAGTATCCCTCCTTGGTCACGGGCGCCATTGCCGCTTCGGCTCCCATTTGGGCATTGCCACGGACCAATCCCACCATGATTGATGGAGCCTATCGAGTGTTGCAACGAGGATTGCAATTGCCTTATCCACCCACAAGCAAAGCGTCTCCAACAACTGAAAATCATTGTGCCACCAATCTACTCGCCACCTGGCCGCTCCTCCAGTATCTCTTTTCTCATGCCAATGGAAGTCGTGACCACCTGACAGACTGGTTTCGATTGTGTCGACCCTTGGGCAGTCATGATTTGGGACATTTGACCGCATGGATTCGATCCCCGTGGTTTGATTTGGCCGAAGGATCCTTTCCGTATCCGTCGTCCTACATTCCCTTTGCCCTCTTGCCCGAGAAATATGACAAGCATGGCAATCTGTTGAAACTCCCACCTTGGCCCACACAAGCGGCTTGTTGGAAATTTTCCCAATTGCATCGCGATTGGGGCATTCGGATTCACGGCAATCTGTCGAATGTCCGCTACAACATTTCCTATGCGCTCGACTCTACAACTACCAAGAACTTGACACTGGCGATTGATTGGGATCAAATGACCATTGTTCATAACGATGACCGCCACCAGGATACTATGCAGGTCTTGGAATCGCCGCAGATTCAAGGACTATTGACCAGTGTACGAGATGCCGTCGCCGTTTGGTATAACATTACACACGAAGAGCCGTGCTTCAATCTCACACCGGCCAACAATATCAATAACAACGACAGCAATCGACGAGGAGGGCTCTTGCAACAACACCGAAAACGAGGACTGTATCATGGGACCGACAGCCTAGCCTTGAAAGACCGCCGCAATCTACGAGACAGGAAAAACGCCACGGAACAATGTCGCGAACGCATTCAACCCGATGCCGCCAGTTGGCCCGCACTCTGTTGCAACGAAGAAATGAACATGATCATTACCGAAGCCATTGGATTGGGACGAGACATGTTTTGGCCGCCCAACTATCCAAGGGGGACACGGTCGCATGCCGATGTCATTCGACACGACAATCATAATGACAACAACAAAGGCCCACCATCGTTTTGTTTGGATCCACAAGGTATTTTTGGCTATTCCCAGCTCCCCGCGGATCCCTGGTCCATACGATTGGATACGTACTATGGAGGCACACGGATTGCCAATAACGCGTATTCCAATATTGTCTTTTCCAATGGGCTACTCGATCCATGGATGGCCGGAGGAGTCAATGTCCCGGACATCTCTTCATCATCAGAACTGCCGATGTACGATGGACCCATGGTGCGACCCATTGGCAAGGATATGATTGCCCTCATTATTGAATTCGGAGGACATCATACCGATCTCATGTACAGCAATGAAAAGGATCCGGAATGTGTCACCAAGGCACGGGAAATTGAAAAGCAATACATTGCCAAGTGGATTGCTCAAGCACAAAACTCGAACGACGACCACCAGGAGGAATTGTAGCTACGTTGGCCCGTGATCTCGACAAAAAGGCAAGGGGAACCAGCCGTTTCGTCGTCGTCATCACGTCTATGTTTAGAATCTTTTGCATAACGTCCTCTCCCTGTTGTCTACCGGGCTTTGTTCTCTTCTTTCTGGTTTTCGGGAGTTCGTCGGGCTGCAAGCGAGCAAAAGCGTATACTGTAGATTTGGTGGTGAGGAAATCAGCGACACGTTGCAGCGGCGGTTCACGACTTCATCAAGCCTGAAGCGAACCTCCACGTGGTGCCGTGGGGGCTCCTTCACTCTCCCACGCGTTGGGTAGTCGTCAACAAAGCCAGCTCCAAGCGCGAGCTGGACCATTCATGTCCTCACCGTGCATGCATACCAGCATAGTACCTCCGGGACGCCAAGAAAAGGGCATGTGAAGATGGTCGGCTCGGGGACTTGCGGGCATTCTCGCTTTCGCGAAATGGTGAAAATTCTATTCTGTAGTATGCATAGTGCAGAGGTCTTGATCTCAGGTTTTAGTGCAAAAGAATAGGATCCACCGCCTCTTGCAATCACTACACAACGATGGCAAAGCTTTGAAGACACAAAAGTCAGAGGCCAACCAAAAGGACTAGACCATGGAGAAAGGTTTGTTCTCACCCAAGGGGCAAGATCCCCGCGCAAGCAGTAACATTGTTGTTGTGATCCTTAGCAAGCTGTCAGACTATGCCGAGCACGTGAAAGTATGCAAAGATTCGTCTGTGTCTGCAATCAAAGCACAGATTCATGGCAGTTGGGGCATCCCACCAGATCAACAACACTTGACTTTTGAAGGCCGCCTTCTAGCTGATAAAGAAGTCCTTGAAAGCATTGGAATAGGTAACGAAAGTGAATTGCATCTCACCCTCACCTCACAGAAAACGAACAGCACCGACGATTCCATTATTGTATCCATTGTTGGTTTGGACGATAGCAGAAGCGTTCTGACGGTGCCTAGGACGGTATCGGTTGCTCACTTGAAAGAGAAGTATAAGTCGGAACGAGAAAAAGCGCAGTTCTACACGGAGATTGATCTCACTCACATGGACGTTCTGCTGGAAGATCATTTGACTCTTGCGGAGTACAAGATTGGTTACCAGACCATCAGTACGATTTTTGCCGCGTTTCGGTGTGTCAAGGAACCTAGTTCGAGGTCTGATCGTACTGTATCGGCGATCATCACGGGCATCTCCAAGAGCATCCCTTTGTCCCAGAATCAATCCTCCAATCAGGCCGTCAGGATCTTCTTCGAAGACTTGAGCTTTTCGACGACCATTGTTGTCAATGTGGACGCCCCTCTTGCGGACCTAAAGCAAATTTATTTGAAGTGCCTGCGAAGCAATGAAACATGTGCAAGAATTGGCCGTTGGAAAGCAACCAGTTCTGCCGAGGATGCAAAACTACGAATCAGCAGCCTCCAGCCCAACTCATTCTCATTGATGCACAACAAGCAAGTTGTGGATGAAAGGAAAAGGGTCGGCGGCTTAGTCGAGTATGGAACACCCACCCTAAGTGTCCACCTGAACACGATGCAAAACAAGTGTCTACAGCATCTGATGGAAACAGCTAGAAGGTTTGCAGCGCATCGAAATGATGCCCCTCTTTTGAATGCAATGAAGCATGCAAGTTCCACTCTTACCGACAGCAGCAAAGTAGCACAGAGCCGGATCTATCACTTCCATCAACTCAAGAGTTTGCAGACAGAGCAGACATCCGAGGACATGAAGAAGGCTACCAACTACACTTCTGAAATTCTTCAGAAGAAACCAAGCGGAACACTGGGATCGGATCCGCTCATTGTGGCGCATGTCCTTGCTGCTTTGTGCCGCCAAAACCAAGAGGACATCTTGTTCTACGACAGCAGCAAGGGTATGCACTTACTTGAGTCTTCGGCTAGTATCAACGATCTTTTGGTTGCTGGCAGGTCCATGGTGTTGAGGTTGGCGTCACTGAAAGGCTTGTTTGGAGTGTCTGAAGCACAATCGGAGACGGAAGAGTTTCACAAGATGGTGGAAATGCAAGCGGCACTTCAGACGGGAGTTTCGCATCCTCTATTGGAGGACATCAAGTTGAGGCTTGCCAGGTGCCTGGAAGTTGAAGCGTCGCGCATTGTTGTTGCTAATATCTTCAAAGGAAGCGTCTGTGTGGAGTACACCGTCAACGATTTGACGCTGCGCGAGAGGCACGCGATTCTACAGCAAGATACCAACGGTCGATTGCAACGGGAATTCAGAGAATATCTTGAGCTCAAAATCCATCCTTTGATGTTCCGACCTGCATTTGATTTGGCCATGTTTGATCCTCTAGGCAACAAATCTTTTGTTCGGGAGGGTCAGTCATTCCAGGTCGGACCATCAGGGTTCCAGAAGATGTACAAGCAGCCTCAAGGCTGGACGAGGTTTGGTCTGAAAGTGCGAACAGAGGATCCTCAGGGTGACAGATGGCTGCATCCTTTCCAAGATCCTGGAAATTGGTGGCGAGCTTTCCATGGAACGTCTAATGCTGGCCGATACATGGCAGGGGTTGACCGGCAGGATCCCACACAAATGGCCGATGCAGCCATGGATGCAGCTGCACACATTTATACTGGCGGTTTCCACACGGCGCATCAAGCTGCCTATGGGCCTGGTGTCTACTGCTCGCCAGATCCTGCTTGGCTTGCTAGATCACGGCATGTTGCAATTGTTGGTTTAAATATCCAAGGTCATTCACAACCGAAGCAGTTCAAGTGCATGCTGCAGGTAGCGGTGCTGCCGGGATCCGACACACTTGAGACTCGTAACGTCTATTCCGATTACATTTGGTGTGTGAAGCAACCCGACCACATTAGACCCTACGGAATCTTGGTGAAGGAGGCGTGAATGCAGCGGGGTTGTTGGATGAATAGAGCAGCTTTCGTACGGTTTGTTTTCGAGGAAAGACATACCGCGTCAACAAGGCATACGTCGAAGACGAGAAGTGGAAGATAGGACACGAGATTCATTTTTTGTTGATATTGCATGTTGAGGAACACTCTTGGTATAGTAATCTATAGTATTGGAAGGAATGGTTGGCTCCGAGCATTGAAAGGGCAACACCGCGGGACATGCGATATATTAGGCTGAAGAGTTTCCTGTGTTTTCTACCGTAGCGTACCGGAACGGATACCGTGTGCCGGTACCGCTACTGGCCACTATAGTTGTTGTTGTTTTTGTACATAACAGTATTCATGCTATTGATATGATCTACTCAAGTTAGCTATGAAGAATCTATATATGTATGAGCCACGCACTTGTCACAATGGTCACAGGAATGTGCCATGACGATTGCTCATTGGATGCTGCCGGGTGCTTTTAACGAAGATGTGGTGAAGTTGGAAGGTTGATCTCTTGATTTGCTGTCTTGTCATGTGAAGGAACAATGTTGTCTAAAAGTTGGGCTGTTCCAGGAAGTCTAGAACCGGGCCTCTAGCACGGATTTCCTTTGGCAAGGTAACATCGCTAGCTGGAGTCATGGTGGCGGCTGTGGATGCCGTAGTAGCCGACATGGGTGTCAATGGCGTTTTGGTTGGCGACAGGTTCAGCTGGGACCCTGGGCTCTCAGGACAAGGCACCTTATTGAAATGTGAACGAGGACTGTGACTATAGGAAACCTCAGGAGTTGGAGGTTCCCGGGTCCCCATACGGAGTGTGCGTAACAAGCCAAAGCGATTCTTGGTGGGGACATTGTCATTTCCGGCCTTGTTGGAACCTGTAAAAGAGGCTCTCCTGTTTGATTGCGTGCTTTTCGCCGTCTGGATGCTGGACGAATCATCAATAAGGTCCAGCCCAGGAATATTGAGCTCATCGCAGAGTTCGTGAAGGACATACTGCACACCAGCATTGGAAAAATGGTTCCTTGCCGCCACTCGTCGCTTGAACTCCGCCCAAAGAACTGGGTCCCTCACCAGAAGCTCCACTTTACGAAGCTGCCTTTCTTTAGAGACGCCACGATTCATGGAGGATCTTGGTGAATTCATATTTGCCATTTGGTTCTGCAAACCATCGCGTATGTTAGAAAACCTATTGGTTAAAGCTCCTATAGGTGACATGTTGGGCATCGTGGTGAATGTTGCGTGTTTTTGTTTCCTCTCTGATGGCTATGGTTGGTCTGTCTGGCTTGATAGATGGGTGGCTATTGGCAAGCTGATAGGTCGCCAAGATGCAATTTGGCAACAGATCAGAGATGGTACAGTGTACTTTCATCTTTACAGGGTCTTGTAGAACCATTTTGCACGATATTTAAAACACTACGAATCATTGAGCTTGATCGTAACCAAATTTCTTCTTTTGTCTCAAAATTGTGAGAGGATGTCGCCAGACTCGACTGACACGACCAATACCTCCAGGAGAGCAGCGAGGACATGAGCGGCCGGTGCTGGAGACCTCCAAAATCCAAATGTATCCATGTTTCATGACGGGTTTGAGTATCCATGTCTCAACTCTCTGCGGCGCACCTCTGCCGTTTCCGCTCATTTTTTGCCACATGCAAAGCGGAACACTTACTTCTGCATCAGGAAGTCTTTCTCTTCTAGAGCTAAAGACCCCCATTGAAGGAGCCACAAAAGAAACCAACAACACATCATGGTGAGCTCCGCTACTACTAATGACTGTCTATCCCCCATTTCTTGCTGTATAGGCCGCGGCGGTGGATTGGCGCTCTTTGACGAACCCAAGACGGACAAGTACCAATTCCCCGATAATGACGATACCGATAATGACGACGAGAAGCCAAAAGTCGCATCAGCTCGCACGGTGGATACTGCCGATGCTCTCGTTGTTACATCGGTTCCCACCTCCGAGTCGTTGTGGTCCTGGTTGTCGAGTAACGTAGCCGCCAAGGAACTTCCCACAGTGGAGGGAGTTCCCACGCTGCTTCCCATACTCATTATTCCCGGGTTCATGAGCAGTGGATTGGAAATTCAGCAATCCAAGGTTCGACCCGAATGGCAGGGCAAACGACTCTGGATCAACTTGGGATCGTTGGGGATGAGTTCGCTCTACTTTGGCGGAGCTCAACAACAACAGAAACAACGGCCCAAAAAGGAATCGCGACGAAAACTGGACGACATCAAGCAGGCGCAACAGCACCAGTACAAATCCATGTGGCTGGAACACATGAGACTCAATGACAAGGATTTGCGCACGGAACCAGCAGGGATTCGAGTCCGACCCATTCAGGGGCTCGAAGGTGTCGATTATTTGTCCCCTGGTGCATTTACCAATCACGTTTCCTACGTCTTTGGACCCGTCATTCAAGCCTTGAAATCGGCGGGGTACCAGGAAGAGATCAATTTAAAAGCGGCTCCTTATGATTGGAGATTGCCACCGGTGGAATTGGAGTCGCGGGATCAGTACTTTACCAAGACGTTGCAACAGGTCGAAGATTTGTACCAACAAAGCCACGACACTCCCGTCGTCTTGCTGGGACATTCGCTCGGGACCAAGACGGCTCATTACTTTCTCAACTTTTGTCTCGCCAAAAAGGGTCAAGCGTGGATCGATCAGCGCATTCATACGTACATGCCCGTGGGGGCACCCCATTTGGGTGCCCCCAAGGCATTGCGGTCCGTCGTGGCAGGAGACAAGATGGGGTTGGACGCCTTTTTAAATGCCGAAGAAGCATTGGCCCTGGGACGATCCTTTGGCAGTGGACCATGGTTGTTCCCTTCGGAATTGCCCCCCGGGGTCCCTGCCAGTGTTTACGTGTTGCCGCATGGCATTTTGGATATCCGATTCGACGGCTTTGTGGTTGATACCAATCCACTCGTCCACAAACGAACCGCCATGACCAAACCCAATCGATATCAGTTGATGGTAGAAATGACACAACGACGGTTGCCTGGGCAACCTTCCTCCTCCCACAACCGAACCGTATCGACATCCTTTTGCAACACTGTCACTGGAAAGGATCAAGTCATGTTTACAGACAAGATATCGTTTGCCACTCATGAAAATCCAAAAACGGCCAGTCAAGCCAGGATTCGATTCTATCTGCAAGAGCCGGGCATTGCCGCCGCCAAGCAAGAAAAGGAAGAACCATATTGCAATCCCATTATGTGTTTCTTGAAATGGATCACATGTTGCTGCGTCTGTGATTATCTGTATCGTCTTGTGCGATGGATCACATGTGGTTTGGTCCGAGGACTGGCATTGAGTGCCGATGCCATTACCGGAGTGGGCGGTGTCAGCTCCAATCTTGCATTTTCCGAGTACTTTGTAATTCCTCACGAAGTATGGACCAATGGCGGAAAGGAGATTGAAAAAACCGTGACGCTTAATCACAAGGATGACTATGGTGCCACGGATCACTTCTTTTGCTTTTCGTGGCTCAAGAGGCCACGAACGGCCAAGCTTTCCGTCCGAATTCGTTGGACTCCCAGTGAAGGTCGCACCAAATCGGTACAACGGGTCATTGGGTCGGCGGTCTGTCAGCCCAGCGAAGACACACCGTCAGGCATTGCCATTACCAAGAATGATCAGATCTATCAAGAATTTGCCGGTCATGATATCCTAGAACGTGAAGGATTGGATACAACTCTTCAATTGATTCATTCCGCCTATGATCGTGATGCCACCATTGGACCCAGGGACAAGAGCTCTCGTGATGCTCCCCCGGTCAAGAGAGTGCATGCCATTTACGGGATCAATGTGCCCACGGAGGTGGGGGCCATTTACAAGCGCAAGGACAATTGCTTGGCCGAGTCAAGACTCGACAATCTGTACAAGCTTGATGCCAGAGCACGCGTTGACGCAAAATCTGGATACACCAGCAAGGGCGGTCTCCTATTTGAGACTTCCAAAACAAGGCAATATGTGGCAGATGGTCGAAAGGTCTGTGGCGACGGAACTGTCCCCTACTGGTCTCTGCAGCACTGTCACACATGGAAGTCGTCAACCTGTGACGTCTCCGTGGTGGAACTGCAGAAGGCGGAGCATCGGGAAATCTTGGCTGATTCACGTTTCCACAAAGCCATCTTGGAGTACTGCCGGATACCCAAAGAGACAGCGTGAGATGCTCTTCGCCTCTCGATCAGTATATCTATTGGCGCATTCGTGGCTGCTCTTCTGGGCGGGTGGTGACAGTGATGTTTGCGGCTTGTTCGCGACCCCCACAGGGAAGCACCGACAAATGAGTGACTTGGAAAGGAAGGAGATCCCACACATAGGGCTCGGAAACATCCACACCCAACAACCAACCCTTGGAAGTACAAGAGGAAGCAGAAGAGGCAACAGCAAAATTCCTCAGACGAATTTGCTACGATCTGGTCTTCCAATTCTTTAAATATTTGTCATTATGCTATCGTTCAAGCACAGTCTTCTAGCCCATAGTAACCTCTTCGACCATTAAACATGCATGTAAACCACTGGACCTCGTTTGAACATGTAAACATCTGAACGAAAGTCGTTTCTCCTTTACCTTATTCGTCAGTTGGATTTCCTTCCTCCCTTGTCTTTCCTTCCTTAACTGTCTCGCCTGTCTCGGCTGCCTCTGCTGCCGGTCCACCGTTCTCGTTGGAATCAGTCACATCTTGCATCTGCAATTCATCGATTCTGTCCTCCTCTGAAAGCAATTCATAGCCCAGCTTGATCCTTGCCGCGGAAAAGACCATTTTGTGAAACCAAAGGGAAGCCATCACACCGACAAACCCCAACATGCAAAACAACCCGAAGCACACCATCGCCATTGTCAAAAAGTAGATGATGTGGGTACTCAGGTAGTGAGCATTCAGCTGCTGATTGTACACGCAGGAATAGGCAAATAACCAACCAACCATACCACCCCCATTGCCAAAGGCTCTCCACCACCACTCATGATTTCCATTTCTCAATTGCAAGTAGCTTGCCAGAACTGTCGTTTGTGCTGTGGTAACAATGAGAAGGAAAAATACCACAAGGAGGAAGAAGAATTCGTAGTAGTAGTACTCCAACCAAAAGCTGGCCATGATGTAGTATGTTTCCACAAAGCAGGCTCCAAATGGGAAGATTCCACAAACAATCAAAGTGGTGGGGGCTGCCACATACCATGGTTGCGGTGGAACAGGACTGGGGAGGCAGTCACTGCTGGAGGCCATGCACACCATGGGGTCCTTCCGATACCCAAAGTAACCACCCAAGAGTACAAGGGGAGTCTGGATACAGAGCACCAGGATGAAAAGGACCATGAGAGTGGCAAAGGGGACCGCAGCAGTACTGGAGTGGCTCCAAAAGATGAGCTGCAGAAACAAAAAGACAGCCATATTGATGGCTGGAAACCAAATGGCAGCAAATCGGATTGTTTGGACACAGGATTGGCCAAAGAATGTCTTGTAGAACCGTGCTGTCACGTAGCCATTGACGATTCCCATGAGACAAAAGAACATTGGTGCCGCTGTGTATAGACTGCCACGCCTGGCTGGGTTCACATATCCCAGCCATCCCAGAATAATAATGAGGAGGAGAGTGACAAGGATCTGGGCACCCGTACCGCATGCCAAAGCAAACAGCCTGGGTTGTGATGTCGGAGGACGAAATACATCCTTGTAGACCCGGATCCACCCGTCCTGTCCAGTGCTGCTGGGGAGGAGACTGGATGTGTTTTGGACTTCTTCATCTTGGGACGGCTGATCACTGTATCTTGCAATTTCGGCCTTGAGCTTTTTGACGACGCAACAGACAAAGACAGCCACGAGCGCACAGATAAATACAAGAGAATTGAAAATAGAGACAGTGTGGACTTTTTCAGGTACGGCACCATTCATGCTGAGATAGACATCCCAGCGATTGGACCATTCCGTGTTGTAGTCTTCAGTCCAAATGACATCATACGTGAACAAGACTTTTCCTGAAGCTGGCTGTGCTTCTCTGCCTCCTTCCACCACCATGTCATAGTTTGTGTGAGGCCTTTGAGTGTATGGTGTGTTGGGATTGCAAGAGGCAATTGGGTTCTTGATATTGGCCACTCTTGGCAAATAGGTATCAAGGTAACCATCTTCCTCCAGCTCCTGGCTGACATCGAAACCGTGCTTGACGGAAAATGGCTCCACTATGAACTTGACAACCCGGTACGCAGGACCTATTGATGCGTCTTTGATGGGGTGGTAAAACAATTCAATGTTGACATGGTTGTGTATGTATGCCTTCTTGTTGTCATCTGCAATGAACCCAACAGGAAACCCCTGCCAAAAGTGGGTGGTGATCAATTGATCTGTTTCTATCTTGGAGGCCGCCGGTAAATTGTCTACAATCCAGTTGTGGTGGTAGTTGGCATGGATGGCCTTGACAAACCTGTTGGAGTTCAAGAATGGCTGTTCCCTCAGGCCTAGATTCGTCACACAGACTTGCTCACAGTACAAGTCCTTTTTCATTTGGATGACGTAGGGTGTGTTTTGGATGCGATTTCCAGACAAGAACTCTCCCAGATTCATATTGTCCATCCGAGGTCCATCACTCGGTTGACAAAAGTTGAAACTGTAATAGTCTAGGGGCATCTGGGTGCTGGTGGATGTGATAGAGTTCACCTTCAATCTGACATCATCGCCTTCTCGAATGAGTGTATATTGACGCCTGGAAGGTAGCCAGCACTGGTGGCAGAGGCCACGACAGCGAGGGTCAGCAGTAACAGGCTGAGAGGCCCTGAACAACCCAACCCAAGCTTCATGGTGCTGCAATCTTCGACAGGCAAGATCCCTGAACTGTCTATTAGCTGATGATTGGGGAAGCGATCAACAGAGACTCGATCTCTTCGTTCGTCTTGCTGTGGACGCTCTTTGTGTCTGCATGTATCGAACTCGACTCGACTGAACTCGACTTTTTTTACACCACTCGTCTACCTTATTAATAAGATAACTCTATTTTTAGTCCAGTACTGGAACTATCTTAACCGATTCAGCCACAGCAACACTGAGTTATTATTTTACAAGCAGCCCAATTTCAGTATCTTTCATATCTTATAGCCACTAGAAGCTTTTGTTACATACCCTACTACTAACCATGCCCTCAGACAGTGAGGAGCCACCACCAAAGCTCAAGAAGGCAAAGGTGCAAAGCTAAAATTGATGAAACCAAAGATGTTGTGGTGTGGAGGCACCCTAAGATGCGGATATGGAGTACTTGGATGTAGATGGTCATGTGGAAGATAATGGGGGCTGGCTGCATTCAATCCCCACATAGTATTTGTATTAGCTTAGGATTTGAGACCTCAGTACTCGTAGCTTATCTTAGAGCATTCAACACCGGGGCCAAGCAAATGCAAACTTTATTTGGAAAGCCATAAGTGGAAGCTTGATCTGGCGGGACGAGAGCCAGTCAAGCCAAACCTGTGACGAATTTAGATGATGGGTAGACTGACAGACCATTTGCTCAACGCTCGAGCACGAGGCAAATCGTTCGGATTTGCCTTCTCGAGCTTTGAGCAAATCCAAGTGAAAAATATCCTTAAAAAGTAAAAGGGTTAAAGTTAAAGAACTGTCCCAGAATTGTCCCACGCATGACTCAACCACTCTCAAGGGTGAAAAACGGCCACATTTTGCGAGCAAGCATAGCCTCACTGCGAGGATGTCAATCTTTGACGGGAAATGGACAGACCAATAGTTTGCATTTGCTTGGCCCTGGTGTTGAATGCTCTTACTGGTTTGGAAAATCTGAGTGTCCCAGTTATCTAAACATTTCCAAAAAAATTGAGTTCTCGTTATCTGAAACCCACTTATCTTAAATGTGAGTGTGGAGCGTATCTTTCAGTCGGGGATTTCGTCCGTGGTTTTGGTCTTTTTGGCTTTTTTAAAACTTTCCAATAACCATCCGAACAGTTTCATAATAAGTCGTTTGGGACTCCTCAATCCTCCCTTGGTATTAAGATGTCTCTAAGTCCACCTGAACCCTGAAGGCATCTTAGCAAAAACTCAAATATCTGCACTGAGAATCTTCTTAGCATTTTGTTAAAATTCAGGGTCCAAAGGCAACATCTTGGCATTCTTGCCATTTCTATTGACCATACTATTAGTATGGTACATACCAACCTTGCTACTCTGCTTTCCACCTTACCGAACATACCCCTAGGAGAAGAGAGGAAAGAGCAGTGTATCATCCGCCGGAGGCTATCTTAGTTCTCTAGCTAGAGTGCAGATCTGAGTGTCTCAAGTATCTTAACATTTTAGCAAATCTCAGTGCTCGACATCTTGTCTCCAACGTTCTTAATGTCAAGGTAGGAGTGTACTATTTTCCCTCACGAATTGACTCAGACTCGATTGAATCATTCGAATGGAATCGAATCGAATCTCAGGATCCTGACCCTCGATCGCCGTCGATCGTCGATGCTGGTCTTTTGTCAACAAAACAGAAAGGGGGGGGATTCTTTGGAAGCCAGCAAGGGCCAGGCTTAGTACATGTTAGCAAAGAAGGGTCAAAATTCAGGACTAGCTGGGTTCCGTGGTTTCAGGGGCGATGAATTGAGGGCCAGTGGTAGCATGGTACGGTAGGACAAGTGCCACAGAGGAGGGAACTCCCTACTAGCTAGCCGAACTAAGAGTTGCACCTGTCCCAAGCGGATCATGTCTCTACTACATATACCGGTATGCTTTCCAGTTACAGCCTAGCGGTATAGTTCTCAAAGCTCCCCCCATGGCCCATTGGTTTTGTACAGGGTCCTCTTCTAGTTCGCATGCTCATGGGGATCAGAAACAACTTGTAAATCAGACAGGCTCTGTCAAAGCGAAGCTCGCTGGTACTGCTCTTGGTTTCGCACAGGTTCCAAATGCAATCAACGTCTCACACAAATCGTTCTCCTCCACATTGTGCCTTGAGAGCATTCTCGTGATCCTTCCCAGAGCCTCTTAGCCTATGCTGAACCCAGCCACAAGCACACCCCTCCCCAAGAAAATGGGCGAGCAGGGCATCAACGGTGGGTCATGGCTCGTTTCCCGTTGCTTGTTTTCTATATCTGTCTTCCGTGGTTGATGATGTGTTACAAGTGCGTCAATAACAACTTCCACCCAAGTATTGACCGATTATGCTGAGGTACTAGCTAGCTAGAGGCCAGGATCTCAAAAAGCAGCTGGAAAAGCACCGTTGTCGTCGTCTTGGTGGAAAACAAATACTAAAGACCACCACCTTTCAACACATAGAATGAGCATCCACTATGGTTCCAGTGGTGTAGCCATGGAGTTTACTCCTTTAGATCCCATAAAGCAGTTGCGCGCCCTTCGGGGCGCGTGTGGCCGGTGAGCGGACTTGACTGTGGGAAATACCCAGGCCTCGGCTCGTGGGTCGTCCTCAAGCACAGCTTGTCTGAATCCGTTAGTTTTAGCTAGCTAGAGGCCAGGATGGGCTCAGTAAGCGGTAACATGGTTGGATTGGATTCTCTGGTGCAGCATTATAAAAACAACCCTGCTTACTTCTAAGGGGTATAGCATGCCTGTTTGTTCTGCACGTAGTAACACTGTTGTGGGTCCTTTGTGTTGCTGCTGCGGTCGCCCCTTGGCTGCCCCTTTTGCAACGGATCATGCATTGTCAGTGGTCCACAAGTCCCCAATTGGTTCAATGATAGAGAAACCAACGACATCCTCTTCACCGCCGGTCCCACCACATTTAGATATAGCTTACCGCTGTAGTTGCAATAAGGGATGGGAATGATAGCATCAAACGGCTACGTTTTAGCGTCTTCAAATTCCGCGATTAAAATTTTGCTTTGCACTTTGGGCCGTGTGTCGGACCCGTAAGCTCACGAGCGTCTTGAACCAATCACGAGTGCCCGCCTTTTCAAGCCAAAGCTTTTGGTGCTCTTTGCCAAGCGTCCCACGAAGGCTTTCCCAACGCATGTCACCATCACCGGTAATAACGATTCTTGATCCACATCTCTCCCTGTTTTGGCTTGGACCAGCTATGCTCACAAAATCAAAAATCCTCTCGAGTGAAAGCAAGCAAACAGCCTTACAGAACCCAACGACAGCACAACGAAACGTCACCATGAAGGTTCTCTTGTCAATCGCTTTGATGGCCTTGTCCTTTGGATCTGGACAGGCCCAATCCACTCCTCCTCCAGCGGATGGAAACGGATATTGCTGTGGCCGCTCCACCCAAGACTCATTGGCATTGTGTGATCCATGCACAGCAGGAAACACCTGTCCACCGGCTGTTACCTGTGAACCCATGCCAACCTATTGCGCCGCCTTTGGCTTGACTCATTGTGGGCCTTTTTCCAACGCCTGTTGCCAAGGAGCAACAACTATTGTCAGTGCATGTGGAGACAGAGAGAGTGAAGAAGTTTGCTTCCTTGCTCCTCCAACAACTCCAACTCCACCGAACACACCGGTCCACAGCGGCGGTGTGGTGGTGGCGGCGGTGGCACTTCTGCAGGCGGTTCGGGAGATCCCCACTTCAAGGTAAGCCATATCCTCCAGGGTGCATTCCGCAGAAGATAGATCGAGACAATGCTAACAACACGCATCCCTCCTTTTTCGTAAATACTAGACATGGAATAGCACCTGGTATGATTTCCATGGCATCTGTGACTTGGTGCTTGTGGAGGATGAAAACTTTGCCAATGGTTTGGGCTTGAAAATCCACACCCGCACCAAGGGACGCTATGAGTATGCCTTCATTGAAAGTGCAGCTCTCCAGATTGGGGACAACGTTTTGGAAGTTTCCAGCTTTGGAGAGTACGTGCTGGATAGGATCTCCAATGTCGATATGCCTGCTGAGATGGGTGGACAGTTCTTGGTGGTTCATGAACAGAAGAGTGACAAAGAACATGCCTTTACCATCAAGATTGGTGAGAGTGAGACCATCAAGATCTCTACATTCAAGGATATGGTGTCAGTGGCGATTGAGAATGGCTCTGCTTCCAACTTTGGCACGAGTACTGGATTGATGGGCAAGTTTAGTGACGGAAGTTTGGTTGGGAGGGATGGAACTACTGTTTTTGAGGACCACAACTTGTTTGGTCAGGAGTGGCAAGTGTTGCCCAGTGAGGCCCAGCTTTTCCAGACTCCTTCCCAGTTTATTGGCAAGACTTGCGTCCCTCCTGCTGCGACCAAGGGCCGCCGTCGCTTGGGTGAGACCGTTTCTAGAGATGCCGCTGAGAAGGCCTGTGACCACCACCAGGATGCTGAGATGAGAGACATGTGTATCTTTGATGTGATTGCCATGGATGATTTGGAAGTTGCCAATGCTCATGGTGCCTTTTAGATGGATGCTGCTACATACTTACTTTACATACTCCATACTTACTTGTCAAGAGACCAAGAAAAGAAATCTGAATGATGTGGCTCTAAAGAAGTAAAATGGAAGATAACTTCCCAAATTCTATAGTGTCGCCGCAAAACTAACTACGATCTACTCCTTAGCAATACTGCTGACTTTCAGATGGGATACATGACATTCTTCCCTGCGCAGCTGTCAAGAGGTTGCAGTATTCGCTAGCTAGGCAGGTTATTTATTGGTTATAGCTAGCTTAAAAGCCGTGGTGCCGGTAAGTTTCCATCCGCGAGCCAAGTTGCATGGTTGAGACGAGAATGTTGCCCTTGATGTCCTGTACGGATTATAGTTTACCCGTGTGTCAGCAAGGGCTTTTTTATAGTTCTATAGTACTATCTGGCAACGATTTGGCGCAAAAGATCGATGGCTAGCTACTTGGCCGCGGCCATAATGGCATCGTATCCATCGACGGAACCACTGACGGTTCCCAACACTGCTGCCACGACGGCCTTGGCCACCGCATCGGGTGACAATGTGGCCAATCCTGGAGGAGCCGGTGGTCGAATTTCTCCCGGTGGTGCTCCATCAATGAGTCCTGGTTTGATAAAGACGGCGCTGCCGCTACCAAAATCCTTGAGCACGGCCGCTTCGGCTTCCGCTTTGCCTTTCATGTATTCCGAAAACAAGAATTTGCCGGGTCCATTGGAGAATTGAGTATCGACGCCGACATAGACAAACTTTTCGACCCCGGCTGCCTTGGCGGCATCGGCAATGCGGGTATTGGCCACTCCATTGCCGGCTCGTGCCGTGGATTTTTCCCAGGGAGCAATGCCGACACAGGATACGACAATCGATGCATCCTTCATGACAGAACTCAAATCGTCTTGTAGAGCATCGAGCGACGCAAATTCCAGACTGGACGGTACTGATTGACCCGTGTTGGCTTTGATTTTAGCCGCTTGATCGGCGGGGGAGGATCGAGATACCGAGACAACGGAAATGCCATCTTGGGCCGCCAACAGAGTCGTCACACGAGATCCGACATAGCCAGCGCCTCCCAGGACGACGACTTTTTTGGATTTGGGCGGCGTTGCTGGAGCTTCCTCCGCCAAGGCACTGTGGGTGGGAAGGAACAGTGTTCCTGTAAGGATAAGATTAGTCAAGAGAGATCGACGATCTTGTTCGTGGTGGGCATGTGTTGGATCTTGAGCCATGGACAACTGGAGGATATTGTTGGTAGGTCGAACATGTATATTGGAAGAAGGAGTGACAAATGCTGACACTGAAAGAGCGCACTGCGCCAAGAAAACCACCTTCATCATGAACATGATTAGATTACTACCGGTAGCTTGGATTTGATTTCAGCACGGACAGATTACTTCCTTTTTGCTACTGATGATGAAGTGCGGAGATAATAATGTGCAAGGTGGGAGAGCTTATCACGGTGGTTTGGGTTGTTGGGTTCGTTGTTACGCGTTACGGCACTTGCTTCTCATCAATCAAGGCAAATATCTTTTGGATCTTTTGGACGCATACGTCAGTCTTGAAAGTTGACACTCGTGACCGATGCAAGACAATTATTGAAGACGACTTTGGGTTCTAATAAGCAAGCAAGATGCCGATGCAGCCAGGTCAGGCTGGCTGTTAGTATGGCCAAGAAATCAATAGAGCGAAGTAGATCCACCGAACAAGCAAAACAGTAAATAGATACAATAAGTAACATATATGATCTAGCTTGTCATGATGAGATATAGCTAGCTAATTAGCAAGAGGAGCAGTATGTACCAGCAATAATAATACAGCCAGGGAGCCGCCGCTGGCGGCTTTCTTTTGGTGGTGTGGGCTCTCTTGTTGTTGGAGCAGCCATTTTCGGCCAGCCAGTGTTATGTTGGAGCAACTTCAGCCGCCAACACGTGAAAGTGGGAGTCGAGTCGTGGTGGGAGTGAAAGAAAGAGCGGAATGTTCAATCCCACATGCATCATTTGCTTCCTGTGACGATTGTTTAGAGAGCTCGTATAGCTCGTGAGAAAGTCCAACCAGATCTTGTCTTTCTCGATTGTTGGGCCGTTGGTGGTGTCCTTGGCAGATGGTTACCACTGGTGGAGATGCAAGTACGAATCTGGGCGAAGAAAGGCGACGTGGATGCGGTTCTCAGCCATTGCTGTTGTCATTATTATGCGGAAGGGAATAACAGAGCCAAAGACCGAACAGACTTGCCTTGATGAGAGTTCATTCATTTCCCCACGCACTCGCAAATAAAACATAAATATCCAAGTCCACAATTAACCATGTCCTATCAAAAAGAAGAAACCAAGTCGTTAATGAAGAATGTATCGGTACAGCATTACCAGTACTGTGAATCGGAAGATTTCGATTCCCATTTGCGTCGTCGTTGTTACAATCTTCCCGTGGGCAAGATCTTGACCGTCTTGGTGGTGGCGTTGTTTGGCGTGGCGGGCTTGTTGATTGGACAATTGGTGGTGGGCCGTCCTACTACTCATAGTGATATCGATGACGCGGACGTCAAAGCCATGGTGGAAGTGACGCCAGATGGTCAGTATCATGTCCACAGGAATGTCACGTTTGTACCAGATGAAACGACCTTTGCTCAATTGGCCACGGAATTGTTGCCGCCGTGGTATCAAGCGTCCTTAATGGCCGTGGAGGATACACTCGATAATAAGAAGAACAACAATATCAACAACAATCACAAGAACAGCATTGCCCCCGATCAAGTCCAAGGTTGTCGCAAAGCATTGCTCATGACGCGCGATTTATTGGATGTTTTTGCACCCGTCTTTGCCACGCCACCCAGTAGTCGCAATTTGTGGCGCAAATTGCGCAAATTGTACAAGGAAGGATACGAAAAAGTCGGTTATTTGCAAGATTTGGATCATTCCGGAGTCGACTACTCGGATGCCCTCTTGCGACAACGCGTCACACAAGTGCTGCTGTGGCGAGATGAATTCAATACGTTTCAACACAAACATCGTATTTCCTATTTGTTTCGTCATGCCGCGGATACTAATACCAACAAATGCAATCGTCATGCGCCACTGGCGACATCGCAAAAGTTTTGGAGCAACGACAATGAAGACTTGCCGTGTGGCAGTGATTTGGCATTGGTCACGTTGCGACAATTGGCCGTGCTGCAACTCACACATGCGCAATACTATTGGAATCAAATTCAAGATTATGACAGCGTGGTGGACGAATTACGCGAAGAACACTTTCACAATTTGCGCAAACAATTGCGAGCTCATGTCGATGTCTTTGGTGGCAATACCGACAGTCCCCTCTTGTTGCCTGACATTTTGAATACTGGCACAACAGAAATGGACACGCTCGACAAGGCACAACATTTGCTCGGGGCCATTAATGATCTCTGGACGGCCTATCACATTTACGAAACAAGGGGGACTCATGGAAAAGAGCAGAAAGAGTTGGTCCAACAAATGGATGACGCCTGGACGGAATTTCGACAGTGGGCCGTCGACAAGGATTTGGCCGGAGTGATTCAAGCGGCATTGGATAGTAGTACTTCTACGAGTACTACTGATGTATCCACCACTTCCTCCCTACAACCGTGAAACCAAATAAAGTAGAAAAACGTAAGATAGTTGTACATGCATGTAGATTTGTCATGGTTGCTGGGGGTCAAGCCCGGTGGAGGACCCATCCCATTGGGATCCATGCAACCAAGCAACCTTGGGTTTTCTTACATAGCTTTTTGCCAGCTCTGATGTGTTCTTCGTGCTCCGAGCACGATCGAGGAACCGCCCAAGATAATACGGTACGGGCTGAGCAAAAAGGATGGTCCCAAAACGATCGAACCAGCATGTTCCCATAAGCAATCAGTAGAGTACTACCGAAGCCTTGGATCCAAAGCTCCATATTGTTGCTTGCTACCGGTAGTGGTTTAGAATAGGGAAGTTGTCTTTTGTATACAGTACCGGAATTCTTGCCTGCGTTTAGATCAGAGATGCTATGGAGGATTTCTTGGCTGGACCCAACAACAACAACAACAACAACTTTTCCAATAATCAAACTTCAATACGGGTAAGCAACGAGCAACAGCCGGCAGTGGCAAATTTGGTTGCGGGGGATCTGGAGGAAGATCAAATGGCTAGGCCATCGCCAGAAGCTGCCAATTTGAAGAGGGATGAATCTGTTGGTAGCAGCACAGATGACCCCCATGGAACAGAAGAAGAAGAAGAAAAGGACACTCTTGTTTTGGATATTCATACCAAGCGGCCCGCTTTGGAAGCTGCACAGTCTGAAATGGATGAAGGAACTGCCATGACCAGAGATTGGAAAGAAAAACAAGATCTCAGTCAAGAAACAAATCTAGAAGATTATGATGAAAAAATTGTGGCAGATCAGGCCAGTTGGGCAGTTGTGGAACGTCTCAATGCCAAAGAAGATCTCCGTCAAGAAAAATCAACCACTGCTAGCAACAACCTCATGCAGTTGGCAGTGGAAATCAATGAAGCTGCCAAACTGGAAAAATTTGCCATCCTTCATGCCCGAGCAAGTACTTCCAAAGAGAGCACAGAAAGTAACTTCAGTGACAATAACAATGGCACTACCAACAACACTACGGATTCTGCAGTGACGGCACTTGCTAATGGCAATGGGGCTCAGATCAGCAACACTCCACAAAGCCACCAGCTATCGTTCTTCCCAAAGGGACGGACAGCTGCTGCGGGTGTGCCTGCCAAAGGATCGGCGACAGCACAAACGTTGGAGGCGGACAAAGATCTTGAGCAAGAATGCGAAAACACAGCTATCAACAATGTCATGCAAATGGCAATGGAGATCATTGAAAGTGCCAAAGTAGAAAAATATGAAACTGCTGCCAATTCTCGGAATGCCGCAAATTCAACGGAACAAGGTGTAGGACTTCATTGCCAATGTGCAGAACTTGAAGCAGTACTACCACCTATCCCACTACAGAGGCAACAACATCAGCCATCAAGACCAGGGGCCTACTTGGGTTTACCGGGAGAAGCCTTACAACGTGCAACTACCCTACAGTATTCACTTGTTGGTGCCGGTGCCACTGGTCAGGACGGACCATTAGTGCAGATACGCAATCCAGGCGATTCCTCTGCACTGGCTGAACCACATAATGTGGGACAACCCAGCAACAGCAACATTCCATCAACGAATGACCCGTACTTGGCAGTTGCAAATCTTGTTGTAGAAGATCCAGAGGATGAACAAACTAGGCCCTCTGCAGATCCAGTCAATCTACAGCATGTCCAACAGAGAGAAGAAAAGAGGAAGAAACAGAGGCTGATGTTTATGCTCTTCTTTCTCCTGTTGTTAATTGTGGCAGCAGTCATTGTGGGAGCTGTGGCAGGAACCCAAAAGAGGAAGGAGCCAGAGGTTCTTATCCTGCAGACAACAGAGGCCCCCACAGTTTATGGCTCCATGGAACCAACCAGAGTTCCATCCACTGCTCCCACTGGTGCTCTGGACTTGTTGTTGGATACTCTACCCCATAGCACTGTGGCCAGGATCAACAATGGCAGTGGATTCCCTCAGTGGAAGGCCTGGCAGTGGCTTGCCAATCACCAAAACATCACATTTCTTCCAGAATGGAGGAAAGTCCAGCTATTTTCACTGGCTACATTCTTCTATGCCTTTGAGGGAGAAAATTGGAACCATTTAATAAAAGGCCATGGATGGATGGATTACACAGTGGAAGAATGCGACTGGTTCTCCAGTGGATTTGGATGGTTTGAGTTTGACGAGTCATACATTGATTTTCAAACATTGGGCCTCACATTCACACGTCCCTGCAACAGCCAAGGACAATTCACGTTTCTGCATCTGCAAGACCTGCAGCTCTCTGGTCGTCCCCCATTCTTGCCACCTGAGATTGCGCTCTTGACTTCCTTGTCTTTTGTAGACTTTTCGAGCAATGACATTGCCGGACCAATTTCATCTCTGTTACCAACAGAACTTTATGAGATGACTGGATTGACACATTTGAGCTTGTCGGGAAATCAGTGCACTGGCAAAATTCCCTCTGAGATTTCTCTATTGACTTCATTGTCCTACCTTCACTTGGGACTGAATCAGTTCTCCGGTCCATTTCCTTCAGAGCTTGGGCTCCTAACCTCGTTGGAAGAACTTTGGATTTATTGGAATCAGTTGACCGGTCCAGTTCCTTCTGAGCTAGGGCTTCTGACCTCACTGGACCAGTTTTCCTTATCTGCCAATCAGTTGACGGGTCCATTTCCTTCGGAGCTTGGGCTCCTAACCTCACTTTGCCTGCTTTCCCTACCTGCCAATCTATTGACTGGTGTACTGCCTTCTGAGCTTGGGCTCCTAACCTCATTGGAAGACCTTTCGATTTTTCAGAATAAGTTGACGGGTCCAGTTCCTTCTGAGTTTGGTGCACTCACTGCTTTGACTACACTTTGGTTGAATGGCAACCAGTTCACTGGCCAGATTCCCATGGAGCTTTGGCTCCTTACGTCGTTGTCGGAGCTTGACCTGTATGACAATCAGTTTACGGGCACAATCCCAACTGAAGTTGGCATGATGACGTCGTTGACATCCCTGGCTCTCCACAACAATAGTTTTACAGGTACACTGCCAGGCCAACTGAAAAGCTCCAAGGAGCTGAGACTGTATGGGAATCAGTTCTCAGGAACTGTCCCAGAGCATCTTTGTTCTTTTCTATGGTGTGATTGTTCCCAAAATGAAACCCCTCCTGTTTCCACTTGTGCTGACCTCATAGGAGCTCCACCGGATTGGCCTGGAAGATTTCCATCCACGGGTCTTGCCATCATGCTCAATATCTACACCGATGATTGGCCAAAAGAAACCTCATGGGTTTGGCAGAAAGAAACTAATGTGACTGGTATTTGGGACACACCGGAATCTGGAGGACCACTTGCATTGCCATACTATCTTTACTCCTCTCTCTTCCCATCAGTCGGAACCAACAACAGCTACAGACTGGTTGTGTCAGACAGTGGGGATGATGGTTTCTTCGTCCCTGGTTGGATCGCTCTGACAGCCACCAACCAAGCAGTGTTGTATTCTTCAAAGGTAGATGGGGAGGCTTTTGTGCTTGGGGGGGCCTTCTCTGAAATCACCATTGGCGTTTTGGTTGGAGCAGATGGATCTGTTGACTTGACCAATTCTATGACTCTGTGATTCTTTTGACATGGCGTATTATATAACTCTGTAGGTAAACAATTATGGACTGTTTGTTGTGCTGCAGTCATCTTTTGCTGGACAACGGCACCAACATCTATATGGAGATTCAGATGTTTCAAGGTAGCTGGAGATCATCTATGTACATCTATGTATATATATTGTGATATCCATGATATTATTGTATCTGCAACATTTACAACGTTGCTTTGCATACCGGTATTTTGTACCGCATCTACTCTCTTAATTTAAAAAAATGGAAAAGGAGTGAGTGTCATTGAAAAGGAAACCCATTTATTAATAAAGGGGAATACTGGTATCGTACTAGCTAGCTAGCTAGTAGTTGTCCTGGATTTGCGATAGATGGACGAGCAATGTGGTTTTTTGAAAGGTGTCTTTGGCCAACGATCGATCGAGCCGAGGACGAGGCAACTCAAATCCAAAGAGCCGCCACCAGGCAAAATTGCAGCACTCGTGATTAGTAGGTACTTTACCAACTCTGCTGTGTTGCAGATGTTCAAGTTGAAGTTCAATGAGTGTTAATTGGTAGTGTTCTCGTAACAGATTTAACAAGTAATCTTATCCATCTTATACGTTGTAAGTGTTAGTTAAGTAATGTATGTCTGGTAAAGTTCTCTTATTAATTCTATAGTCTCTTACTAAGTATTTAGTTTTCGTTATGGCCATCTGCGGTAGATCTGTGTCAATAAAGGAGTTATGGAATGAGGCAATTGTGAGTCGATTACGGTTTTGAAGAATGAGTCTTGATGGTTCTGGAATTGCAAAATAATGCGCTCTTTGTCGGAACAGTAGCTGAATACACAGTGCAGTGCGTACAACAGTACCAGTAAGCTCATTCATACATACTACTAGTGATACTAGTAGTCGGACATTGATTGGGTGTATGTGCGGCGTGCTGCGGCAACTGGGAATACGTCGAAGGAAAGTATAGTTGTTAAATAAAAACTCACCACTCTGCAAGGATGCTGGTGAAGCAAGGAACGAAGTGAGTGAGTGAAGAAGTGTTCCAGCGCAGCAAGCAAGCAGCTCAGCAGCAAAAGTACAGTCCTAACAAGCAGAGCAGCACGAGGACCTACCCATCCCAGCTGTGTTTGGTTTCCTATCTATCTATTGGGATCTAATATCAGTGGTGAAGTACTAGTACGAGTAGACTAGCTAGCAACCATCAAGTATCAGAGCAGTGCTGTGGTAGTTGAACAGTGGAACTGATTGTTAGATTACCTTGCAAGCGAAGCCCCGCCAGATTTGTTGTAAGTAAGTAGTCGACTGGTCCTTACTTCAACCCAAGTCTCTCCGTCAGTCAGTCAGTGAGTGAGTACGGTAGTTAGTCCGCTCGGTTCCTCTGCCCTTCGGCCCCACCATCACAAGAAACAAAGACGAAAGACACAGAGAGAGAGAGAGAGAGTAATGTTGTTTGCGATTCATCCAACCGGTACCACTAGTAGCACCAGCAAGAGCAGTAGCAGCAACAAGACGGCGGCCGAGAGTGGAGGGTCATCCTCACAATCTGCAGATCTCTTGGACGCTCCATCATCATCATCCGCAGCAGCAGCAGCAGCACAACAACATCAAGTCGAACAAGGAGGTCTAGAACGCAGCAACACGAACTCTACCAATCATTCGACCGCTTCTACTTCTACTAGTACGACGGACAGCGTGAGTGTGGTCTCGGTCAGTTCCAACTCCAACTCGGCATCGTCCATGACAGCAGCAGTAGCAGTAGCAGCCGAACCTCCGCTTTTGACTCCCATGACAACAACAGCAGCAACAACAACACCCTTGTTCAATATGAACTCTTCTTCCATGCAAAACCTGTTGAATCAGGAACCAAGACACAACAATGGCTCTTTTCACTCTCTCCAACAACAACAATCCTTAGCCGTCGATATGGATGATCACGCGTCCAATCCATTTCCCACTTTGTTGCAAGTACGACAACAGTCAGAGTCGCAACTACAAAATGGACAGCAGCAGCAGCAGCAACAACAACAAGGACAAAACAAGAGACGATTGTTGTCACAAGAACAAAAAGCCACACTGGAACGAGTCACGCGACTCTCCGCTCGTCTCTTGGGACTTCCCGTGGCGGTCATCACTGGTACCAGTTCTTCTAGTAGTAGTACTAGTAGTAGTCCACCACAAGTGATTTGCGAGCATGGACTCGAACAAGTCCACTGGAAGGAACAAGCACTCACCTTGTTACAACAGCAGCAACAGCAACAGTCCTCCACGATTACCAATGGCATGCCCTTTTGTCAACACGTTCCTCTTGTCGCTGCATCCGGTGCATCCGTAGGAACGCTCAGTCTCATGACAGCCGAAACCCGACCGCCACTCACTCAAGAAGAAGAAGAATCTCTGGAAGATTTGGCGTTTCTGGCCACACAAGTTCTCTCCAAGTTACGAAACGCTCGTCGAAGAAGAAGCACCGCCGCTAGCATCAAGGCTCTCGAAGACGACGACGATCAAGACTCCTCGTCATTCCAAGTCCATCGTCAAGTCTCCAATGCATCGGCTGCAGAAAATGCTCCTCCATCCATGATGCGACGACAACGGAGACGATCTTTTCGCAATGCCACAAGTAGTAGTACTACTGCCAGTAATGGTAATAATAAGAAACGATCCAACAGTTTCAACACCAATGCCAGTGACGAAGACAACGATCCAGAAGACGAACAAGAAGAAGTAGAAGATCCTTCCAAGTGTCTCATTGCCTGTACGGCACATGATTTACTCACGCCGCTCATGGGATTGCAGCTTTCACTCTCACTCTTGCAAGACGACTCCAAGTTTGTTCGACATTTGGAAGAACAACCGCATCAACGAGAATCCTTTTGGACGGCATGGCAGAGTACCGAAGTCATGTATCGCATGTGTCAAACCACCATTGATACACTGCGGGCCAACAAGCATAACAAACAAATTGAGCCACAAGCATCTCCTTCTGCAACTACTACTGCCAACACTCCACCACCGCCCACCACCATTTGCAATCTCGATTTGACCGTCTTGTTGCAGTCCTTGCAACGATTGATGGATCCCATTCCCAAACAAGTGCCACTCATCATTACGCTGCCCAAGCACGTACCCACACTCATTCCCGTCGTCACTATCGATCACCAACAGCAACAGCAGTGCAACAAGAATCACCATCATCCACACCATTTGATGAGTAGTATCAGTCATAGTGGTCATGGCAATGCCAACAACAGCAACACTTCTTCTTCTTCTTCTGCCACTACCACCACCACCAATACAGTCGATTGGAATATTCTGCGCTGTGCCCTCACTGTACTCTCTCATGCCTGTCGCGTCAGTGATCAGCAACAGCCCATTCACATGCGCATGGCACTCCGACAGCAAACGCTTGTTTTGGAATGCGATCATCATGATGGCACGACGCAAGATTGTGACAGTGACGATGATTCCACGACACTGGCATTGCAATCGGTCGCACATCAAATGCAATCGGTACACGGAGGACAATATGGATTGGAACGGAATACTACAGATGGACGTGCCACCTTTTGGTTCTCGGTACCGGTGGGTGCCATGACGACCACTCCATTCAATCGAGACGATCGGGTCGTGACACTCATGCCCGCTGCCATGCGTGCGCCGCAGCCTACCGAGCAGCAACAGCAGCAGCCGTCACTACCCCCGACAACAAGTCCTCCCAACCAGCAACGACGATTGCGACGCCTCCGACGATCGTCTACTGGAAGTACCAATGTCTTGACGACGAGTCGGGTCCGCACGTTTCATGACATGGCTGGATTGCAGAATGATACGTTTGGTGCTACTAGTAGTAGTACCTTCATGATGACATCGTCCACCAGTTCGTCGCGATTGGGGACTACCATTCCCAGTGTCTTGCCTACGACACTCATGCCACGATCGCAGTCCCAGTATCCGCCCACTACCACCAGTGGGACACTGTCGGGACACAAGCGAAACTTTCAATATCCCAACCATGGCAATAACAGCAGCACCATGACGACGACCGCCAATTCGGCCATGGCGGCTGCCTTTCAAGCCAGTTTGGCAGCGTCGTCTGCCTTGTTTTCGACATCCAACAGTAATGCCATGGACGATGATTCTTCCGCGATCGATCGAAAAGCGGGCGGTCGCAGTCGGTTGAGTTATTCGCTACTCCAAGAACAACAGCAGTTGGATCGAGAAGAAAAATTGCGGCCTTTGCAGTTGCAGCAACAACAACAACAGCCACATTTGACAGCGAACCCTTGTTCGAACACGACTACGACGAGTAGTTTTACTGGTGGTGGAAGTGGTTTGGATCGATGTTTTCAAGATCTCATGGGGAGTTCCGATCAATCGACTCAACGAATACGGCAACGACTCCTTCAACAAAGCAGCACACCCAAGTCGTCGTCGGGAAAGCCAGTATTGACATCCTTGGGAGGAGCACCGCGAGAACGCAAGGCATTGGTCATTGAAGATTCGTTGGTGATTCGCAAGACGGTGGCTCGCGCTCTCACGAAAAAGATGGGCATTCATACCGTTGTGCCGGCATGTGATGGCGTCGAAGGAGTGGCACGGCTCAAGGAAGAAGTCTTTGATATTGTCTTGTGCGATTTCTCCATGCCCAATCTGGGTGGTATAGAATGCGTCCAACAGTACCGACAGTGGGAGGCGCAACAACAACCAGGACGACGGCCCAAGCAATATATTGTGGGGATGAGTGCTCATGCCAGTCCCAGCGATATTGCGCAAGGACTCAAAGTGGGGATGAACGAGTACCGACCCAAACCATTGACCATTCCGCGTTTGACCGAACTCATGGAAAGTCCAGCTCTGCAAGAAATGCGCAAGCAGTTGGATGCCTGGCGGAAACAGAAAACGGCCGATGTCCTACTGTTGGCGGCGGCGAGTCCGACCGCCAAGGCCGGAAAGGCACAACGGGCGACGAGTCTCTTTGCCGACTTTACCAATTCCACCGTGAGTATGCTCGATGCCATGAACACGGCATCACGGGCTTCATTCTCGGCGGCAGGAGGGGGGGATGCGGACCATCCCATTGAAGGATCCTTGAAACGACCCAAAACCGAAGGGCTCTTCAGTATGATTACAAACTAGCTAAATTGAACTAATAACAAGTTTAATTGAGCTAGTTAGCCGAAATGGAGTCTGTGTGCCTTTTGCAACGGGCTGTTGTTAGTTGGGATAGGTTGGGAATGAACCCCAACTTCAGGCCTCTCTATCAAACGGGGGTTTAGAAGAGGTAGATTGCCTCCGGAAGCCAGGCGGGGCCAGGCCTCTCTATACTGTAACAATTTGGTTCTGAATTGCACGAGATGGTTGACCATTCTGGAGCCTCCGCGTGCGCCGGACCGCAACCTTCATTCTGTGTTTTGTTTGCCAACTACACCCAACCAGGATATCGAGCCATGAATCTCCAGTCTCAATCCTTGCTACTAGCGAGTATCATACTACTACTTATTGCACAGGGGGCATCCCATCCGTTCCAAATCACCCCTATTGTACCGAGCCCTAAGGATCCTGCAGTCTGGCTTGATTGGTGGTGTTCTGAGATTTGTGATCAGAGTGACATGTTCAGAATTTCACTGTGAACCGAGTCAAAGTGCTCTACCTTTGCCTTCGCACCCCACCGGTCATAGACCTTTCTTGCTTCTTCAAGTTCACGAACCGCTGACTCGAGATCGTTTTCTTGAGTGTACAGCTTCCCGAGCAGCTCATGGGAAAGTGCCTCATCCAAGAAGAAGCCTCCCTCCCTACTATGAAGCACTGCTGACAAGTAGCTTGCATGAGCTGTTTGATAATCGCCCATAGTGAAAGCCACTTCAGCTTCTAGAAGACACCTTTTCCCCATAAAGTTCGAAGGAGCAGCCCGAGCCCAGTGCTTCAGCCTCTTCAGGCGACTGCGAACGTAGCGAATGGCAAGGAAACGATTTCGCTTTCGCCTTTTCACTTGCGCAAGTAGTACCATGCATTGAAAAAACAAAGTCTGAGCGGCATCCATTCCGCCAGTGTCGTTCTCCTCATAGATCTCGGCAATAACCATAGAAAAGGAATCCGCCAAATCGTAATCCTCAAAGATATATGCCAGCTGCATGCTCAGGTACTTGTACCACATGAGCATGTGTCGATCCGAAGCACCAACCTTCGCCTGCTCGATGTCGGCATCTATCAAAGCACCTTTCAGATACTTTGGGTTGCCGGTGGCTTGGCCTGTTAAACACAGAACATATTGGAACAACGGCTTGACCATGACGAGCGTGGTTGCCTGGCCGTAGAACTCGATCTGGTTTAGGAGCGTTCGGAGGTAGCTCTCCACTTCTGGAAGCAATAGGATTTCCTGGGTTTGAAAGCATACCATGCACGCTCCCAACTGCAAGTGACAGAGGCCAATGTGAGAAGTCAAAAGGTTCAGCCTGCAAAGACAACCAGCTGTTCGTACTCACCACAGAATATTCAATGTCACCCTTAACCATGCCGGTTCGATACGAGTCTTTCAAAGGTTGAACGCAACCTCTGATGGGATATTTTCGCGCATAGATTGTCCCGTAGTAGAGCATGTGAGTCCTATTCAACCACACCCCTTTCTTGTAGCGACTACAGAGCTTCATCGCGAGTTTACCATACCGAATCCCTTCGTCGGTGGCGCCGTCCCTGAACATGAAGGCTACGTTAGATTTGGCTGTTTCATCAATGCAAAATGGAGCAATGCGATTGTTTTTCGTACCTGGAACCCAACAATCCGTACGCCACGAACCCGATCGATGACATTGCGCTCAAGCCAAATTTGATGGACAAATCAACCATCCGAAAGATGATAAGCGCACCGAGCTTTGGGGTTTCCAAGATTGCATACAACAATACATGGTTCATAATCTGCATTGCTGCGATTGCCCTTGGATCCTTCATGCGTGGTAACGCCAATATCTCTTCGTCGGACAAAGGCTTCAGTTTGCGTTTCATTCGACGGGACTCGTGCCACAATCGAACAAAAGAGGGTTCCTTGTTCGATGGAAAAGTTTGCCCGACTTCCTTGAGTGCCTCCAGGGCAAGTTCGATGGCCTCCTTTTGCTTATTTCGGCTGCCCAGGGAATAGATCTTTGTAGACCGCGCCGGCAGCGAATCTTCAAAAGTCCTCGCATTCTCGAGGACTTCGTCGATCAGTCTATCCAGCGTTGAGAATTCTCCGTTGCAGTACGCGACCTCGATTGCTTTGTTGTAGAGAGCCAACGACAGGTCATAGTTGTCGCGTCCCCACTTTCTGAGTGGCTCCATGATTCTGATCCCACTGTTGAAGCAATAACCTGCTGTCTGTGCACCCAAATGGACCATGGCGCCTTGACCAGCCTCCAGATAGAACATGGCGACAGAGCGAATATCCTCCTCGGCCACTACCAAATGGTCGCTCATCATCATTTGACTCATCAAAAGCGAATAGTACTCGGCATTCTGGTTTTCTTCCAGGTGCAGGAACATTCGTTGCCCAATTTTCAAACGATACGGGTCTCTGTCCTTCTCTGGGATGAGATCGATGACAGCCTGCTTGATGCTGTCGCTCGCAAAAAAGTAGCGACCATCGTGATACCGTAGGAGCCCATTCATTTCGGCTAGTTTGAGATGAGCACTCACTGCCCCGACCGTATCAATCACCTTGATGACCGTGTCCGCAATCTCGGTCGACCCCAGACAGGCCGCGATTCTCATGGTTTCTTGCGCGGACGGCGGCAACGACTGTATTTTGGCTTGGAACAGGTCCGGGACACTTTTGATGGTCTCCAACGTGTTTGCCATTTGCTCAAAGTCGCATTTCCATTTCGCGGATACTTCGTCAAACCGAATCATGTCTCGCTCCTGGAATATCCGTAACAGCTCTGTGATAAAGGTAGGATTCCCCTTTGTCACTGGAAAGATCAAGTCCTTGACTTTTCGAGTTTCTTCTTGTTGCAGTGACAAGGCTTCCGACAGCATGACATGGACACTGTCTTCGGGCAAATCCCCAATGGCAATTTCGTGGACTGTAACCTTGACATTTCGTTTGACCTGCTCAATGGCGCGTGTAAAATGCGTCTCGAGCTCTTCGTCCGTCCGGTAGGTGCCGAGGAACATGGGAAAGCCGTCGGTGGAGCGTCCCACAAAGCCCAGAATAAACTTGAGCACTCCCATGGCCGGTTCGGACGCCCAATGCAAGTCCTCCAGCAAGATAATGATGGGATGATCATGCGGTGACACGGATGCAATGGCGGTGAGAAAATTGGCCAGAACTTGTTTGATGCGTTGCATGGCCATGTGTCCATTGCCCTCTTCGTAGTCACATTCGGAAGATGTGCTGGTTGTCGAGGACCGATTGTTTTCGGACGAGCTGGTCACACTATCGGTTGTGACACTTGCATTTCCCGATAGAATCATGCCCAGTGCGGGTACCAGTGTCTGTAAGAGAGGCAAATCATCTGGCATTGCCTGCTGAATGGCTTGTCGATATTGCTTAATGAGGGTCTTATCATTTCGTTCCGCGAGTTGATGGCAAAAACCCGTCATGACAGTGACAAACACGGCACTGGGATCTTCCCATTGGCACAATTCAAATTTGCCTTCCAAAAAGAAGGGTCTAGTATGCTGTTGTGTCTCCTCTTGGTCACTGTCATCGTCCAACAATATACTGGGAATGTTGTTGCTGCTGCTGCCATTATGGACACTCGGATGTCGCAAGATGCGTGCTAGGGACGTTTTGCCCACTCCCGAACACCCCGCAATCAGCACCAACGGAACGGTGCGGTCGGCCATCATTGTTAGGGGAGTATTGTCGTCGTCTTGCTTTGGAGGCAAATAGCGTCGAAAGATGTGTACGAGTTTGTCGCGTTCCTTCCATCGTCCAAAGAGTCGTCCATGGGCTCGTGCCGTATGCAATTGTTCGGATATTCTTCGTTCGTACTTGTTCTTGTTGGGTTTTGGAAAGCGGGGTGTTTTGGGGAGCGCTGTAGCCGTGTGAATGGTAATGGGTGTCGGTCGGTCCAACTTGGTTTCTTCTCTCTTTGCTGCCACAAAGGCTTCTTCCTGGGGTCCAGTCTTATGAGTATTGTTGTTATTGTCATTATGTTGTTGCTGCTGTGCACAATCTGTCTCGGATTGCTTCTTTTCTTCTGCCAGATTCGGTGGTGGTTCTTCGAGACTGCTGCTTTGCTGACGAATGAGCTGCTTGAGTGCCTTGGAAATTTTACCCCGTGCCTTTTTATCCCCCATGTCCTTGTAAAGGGGATGCCTTGTATCTGACTCTTTCACTAAGAATCGTCCGGGAGGTTTCTGCTGCCTCCACTCTTTCAGAATCTTGAGAGATACCAACGGCTTTTCCAGGTTGCCGGCCGTGTCGTAGGCTTGACAGTGGGCCGCCAACAAGTCTCGAAATCGTTGGTTCCCTTGCAGTTCGTCTTGTTCTCCTGCCAATGCTACCGAATCCTCGGAATGACTACTGCTCAGGCGTCCCAACGTCTTGGACCTCCAAGGCACGGATTCTTGGTGGTCCGTGTGGGCGTCACTGCCATCCAGGTTGCTGCTGGCTCCAGCGTCTACTACTGCCATAAGACGGTCACTCCAAAGAACATCGTTGCAAGGATGAGGTTCGGAGATTTTGTGGAGCGGCCAATTCTCGTGGTCACTTTCACCACCAAGGTGGCTCTGATGCTGCTCATGATGCTCATGATTCTCCATCGTCGTCTTCTGGCTTGTGGATGGATGTTTTGAAATGTGCTGGAGAATAAGAGGAGGATCAAGTCGTGGTACCGCCCAGGATACCCCACGAATGAGATTACTCGACTCTTGGGTAGCTGATAGCACCACCAACGATGATGGAAAACCCAATAGTGCCGTCTCTACCGCATAAATGTTATCCAGCTAGCTAGCTATAGATAATACCTTTGGCTTTTGTTTCCTCGACAATTGAGGCACTGGCCTAGGGCTGGCTGACAGTGGAGAGATGAAATAGTTTGTGGTGTTCACTTTCCGTTCCTTCTCGTCTTCGTTGTTGCTGCAATGTAGCTGCAGAAGGGATGGGGTTATCCGCCATGACGTCATCCTCGTAAACTACACGTCACTTCAATTGTCTTCCGAGGAATATCAGTCCAGCTAGCTTTTTAGAAACCAAGCAAAATGTGAGACCGGTTTGCGTTTTTGCCGGTCCTGCCATGCCGCTGAACAAACATCCTGGATTGACCCAAGCTAGCATGAAACCAAACCACACCATCCACCATGGATGTCTGGGTTCACTTTGCTGCCGGATGGAGGTTTTGGCACAGAGCCATAAACTTTGTCATTCTCGTTGCATGCTTCCATTATTAGTATTGCAACCGAAACACCACCCACACACCAAACATGGCACCCAAACACAATGACAATGACGTGCTCGTGGAGCTACGTCCAAACAAATCGACCGCAGAGTCCGCCAATGCCAGCACTAGTAGTAGCACTGGAACGTCCAATCCAGACGACTTGGATACCCGCGGCGTGAGCGTCTACCACTTGCAACACGTCTTTCTTGAGAAAGAAGTGTGCCGCACGACCAAAAAGTCGTTCCCATGGTCTCGTCAGCGCCGCCACAAGACCCTTTCCAGAGCTTCTACTATCCATGACATTGAGAATCTCCATCAAGGTACGCTTCCGGGAGGAGTCATTCGCAACAAGGGAGCCAACACTATCTGCCCCATCGACGGGAAAATGGGTGCTGCCTATGTCCACTGCCTCCAAGGCAAAGACCGTGTCGGAGAGGCAACTCACATGCTCAGCTATTCATCGAGCTACACCATTGCAGAGATTGTGGATACCCTCACTGGCTTTTGCTGCCAAAACAACCTCAATCCCAAGAGGACCTATATCTGGATGTGCTGTCTTTGTGTCAACCCCCACAGGGTTGCTGTAGAGAATACCATCACCGCAGACAAGTCGGGAAGGAGGAAAGCTCCTTCTGTTGACTTTGTTGCCACCCTTGGTGAAAGAGTCAAAAAGATTGGACACTTGTTGGCCATGATATCTCCCTTGTCTGCACCAGTGTATCTCACTCGAGTCTGGTGCATCTTTGAAATCTTTACCGCTCACACCACCCATGGTTGCAAGGTGGACATTCTCATGCCACCAAAAGAAAAGCTTTCTTTGGAGCAGGATCTCGTCCAGGGTGGAGCTGGTGTAAACTCGTTGTATGAGATGATTGGAAACATCCGAGTGGAAGATGCCAATGCCTCTTTGGAAAGTGTCAGGGAGGCAATTCTTCAGCAAGTTGAGTCAGGTGTTGGTTGTTCCGAGCTGAACTGTCAAGTCAAGGAGTTTCTGCGTGGGTGGATCTTGAGTATCCTAACTCAGCTGGTGGAAGCTAGGGAGAAGACCAACGGTGAGGAATATGACTATTGCAATCAAATTGGATTTTTTCTTGACAAGAATGGAGAGCATAATGCAGCCACCAAGGTCCACCAGACTGCCCTGACAATTTGTGAAACCAACTTGAACAAGAACGATAAGAAAAAAGCTGCCACCTGCCACCTTCTGGGGCTATCCTTGAAGAAGCAAGGTGACTACGATGGTGCTCTGAAATCCTTCCAGACATGCCTTGCTATTGCCTTGTCTGTCGTTGGCAGAAATCATCCACGGGTGGCAACCATCTATGGAAACATTGGATCTATTCTGGAAAAGATGGGTGACTATGATGGTGCTTTGGAAAATTACGAGGAAGCTGTTGCCATAAGATTGCCATTGTTTGGCAAGGACCATCCCTCCATCGCCACCACCTATAACAATATGGGGGTTGTGCTGTACAAGATGGGTGATACTGAAGGTGCCCTAGCAAAGTACATGGAAGCACTTGTCATCCGCGAATCAGCCTTGGGAAAGGATCATCCTGATGTGGCAGCTACCTACAACAATATAGGAGCTGTGCTGCTTGCCACAGGTGATCTTGAAGGTGCTTTTTCAAGGTTCCACGGGGCTCTTGCGATTCGAGAGCATGTATTGGGCAAGGATCATCCCGCGGTCACTGCTACAAACAGCAATATTGCGGCTGCGCAGCGTCATTCTCACACCGGTACGCAAAGGAGTGGTGCTTTCGAGTTTTCGTGGCACGATCACACGGTTTTCGTGGATTGCTAGCTGGAACGCAAAAGGTTAAAAGACCACACGTTATTGTAGCCATTTTCTTACTGTAGTAAACACCATTGATCTATTTTGCCAATTCTTCCACAGCACCCAGCCCGAGCTAGCTGAGAGCTGGAAGCCAATTTTTGTCTGTCGTGTTCGTAAATTGTCCAAAACTCAATTGTACTTGTATAATACACAAGTTGGTTCAGATATTCTCCTGTACGATCTGTCTGATACCCGTACCCTGTCAAAAGTAATAGCAGCAGCAATGAATTCTTTTGCATTGGACTGAAATTCCTCCGTAAATTGTTGTGTATAGCTGTTGCCGCAAATTTAAGAAATGTTGTTCTTTCTCTGCTGTTTCACCTTGCGATTTTCGTTCCAATCAATTTTTAATACCACAGTTCGGTGGACCCCGATGTCTCCAAGTGGCCCTCCTTCTTGCCAACATCTCCCACGTTCGTGCTTCTCTTGTAAGACGACGGCGCCACGAAGCTCCCGTACAACCAGGTGGCCGATTGACTCCATTTCTGGAGTTCCTTCTTTGCTTGATCTTCTGTTGACGACGTAGTCTTGTTTTTGGCAAAATAATCTTGGTAGGGAAACAAGGTGGGGAAATTGGGCATGGGGACGCACTCGGTAAAGAGACCCGAACTGCTGCGTCGATTCCACGGATCCGATGGTTGCTGTGAAGAATCAGAAAGAGGTTTCGCGTCTCCTGATGAGGAAGAGCTGTTACCGGGTGGAACGAGCACCATGATGTAGAAAGAAAGAATCGCAACTTTTCTAAAATGGACGAAGAGGGTTGGGCTTGTTTTTATGGACAATTGCCACCGCAATAAAGGAAGGTCCAGTCGAGTGACAGTCCTTGCTGCTTATTGCTTGCTGCTTGAAGGCGGCAGATCCTGTCCAAATTGTGGCTTGCGTGCCCATCCTTGTTCTCTTTCTCGAGCGCGAATTCTGAGCGGGCGTTGGAATGCCACTGCAAGCACAGTCTCTTTTGCCACATCCACTATAGCTATGTTAATGCTCGGCTCAGCCTAGCTATTCTTCGGGCCCGCCACCTCTGCATGCGTGGTATAATTTGAAACAAAGATGACGTCAAAGTTTTAACCCAACAAGAACGCGACAAAATTTCCAAATGTAAAGAAGCGTGCGAATCCAATCGCGCTTCCTTCCACCCCTTTGTTGTTTCAGTGGATGGCATGCTTGCCCCTCAAGCCAAGACTCTCTTACAACGCCTTGCTTCTGCTACTGCCTCCAAAACTCAATTTTCCTACTCTCAAATGATGTTCTTCATGCAGACCCGTATCTCAATTGCCCTTGTGAAAGCTACCCATTTATGTCTCCGTGGATCTCGCAAAGCCAAACCCTTTTGCCCCCCGTAACGATCCTCACTTTCTTGCCCCTGATCCCACAGAAGCTAGTCCTGAATTTCGACTGTTCTTTGCTTAAGCCTGGCCCCGGCTGGCTTCCGTAGATAATTTCCCTACTCTAAAACCCCCTTATGAATTTGAAATGAAAAAGTTATAGATTATGCATGGTTTTTGTTGCTTTAAGACCCTGATGTGTGGTTTTGGATCGGAAGTCTCGAACATAAATTAAGGGTAGCAAAATGGTCCCTTGGGACTTGCCGTGAGGTCCGGATCTGTGGTTATAGGGCATGAAGTTCCAACAAACATGCTATTTTTGAATGCTGAGGTATCTGTGATTTTGGTGCCCCAGTTATTCAGGTCTTTTTTGAACACATCAGCACCACTAAACATGGAAGTATAGTCAGTAACAGAACTGACATCCCAACCTGATACATCAACATTGAACACATCGGCTTCATAAAACATGTAATACATGCTTGTGACCTTTCTTGTGTCCCAACTAGATACATCTCCATTGAAACTGGTTGCTAGAGCAAACGCCTGCAACATTGTTGTGACCTGACTAGTATCCCAACCGGATATATCCTCATTGAAGGCACTGCAACTTTGGAAGATCTGGTTTAAGGATGATACTCTGCTTACATCCCCTATCGATCAAGCAAAATTGAAGGAGTCAGACAACAGTGACACATCATCATAGCTCCACAAGGAATCCCGTCAATACTCACAAGTCGATATTGCACCTTTGAAATGCAAACATGTATGAATGTTTTAGATAGGATAGTAAAATCACTGCTAGCAACCGGAATCACCGCAACTTACCATAGGGTCCTGTTGAAGAGTAATCCCCATCACAATTATTCGAAGTTCCCAATGCGGTATAAAGTTGTGAGTATGATGTAAAAATGAAGATTGGAGCAGAGCTTGGACTCCCACTTGGTATTGGTGATGGTAATGAGCTGGGTAACGTGCTTGGTGTCAAGCTAGGAGATGTGCTCGGCAACATGCTTGGCCTCGAACTGGGATGCATGCTTGGTCTTAAACTGGGATGCATGCTTGGACCGAAGCTTGGTATTGAGCTAGGCAATGCACTGGGAGAAATACTTGGAGCAGCACTTGGTACTTGGCTTGGACTCCCACTTGGAATTGGTGATGGTAACGTGCTGGGTAACATGCTTGGTGTCAAGCTAGGAGATGCGCTTGGTAACATGCTTGGCCTTGAACTGGGATGCAGGCTTGGCCTTGAGCTGGGATGCATGCTTGGACCGAAGCTTGGTATTGAGCTGGGCAATTCACTGGGAGAAATACTTGGAGCGGCACTTGGAGCATGACAAAAAGGCCCCTTGGGACTTGCCGTGAGATCCGGATGTGGAAAGGTGATAGGGCATGAACTTGCCCAAAACATCCAATCTGTGACTGCTGTGGTAATCGTGATTTTGGTGCCCCAGGCATTCAAGTCTTGGTTGAAGGCACTAGCAGTCCCGCTGGAGAACATGGAAGTAAAGTCCTTGACAGAACTGATATCCCAACTAGACAAATCGCGGTTGAACACATTTGCATCATAAAACATGCCATACATGCTGGTGACCTTGCTTTTTGTCCCAACTAGAAACATCTCCATTGAAAGCCGATACACCATAAAACACCTGTAACATATCTGTGACCTCACTAGTATCCCAACTGGACAAATCCTCATTGAAGGCGTTGCAATTTAGGAAGACCAGGGAAATGTCTGATACTCTGCTTACATCCCCTACCAAAGAAGCAAAATTGAAGCGGTTAGACAACCGTGACACATCATCATAGCTCCTCAAGGAACCCCATCAATACTCACAAGTTGATATTGCACCTTTGAAATGCAATCATGAATGAATATTTTTTATAAGACGAAAGCAACATCACTGCTAGCAATAGGCATCCCTGCATCTTACCATAGGGTCCTGTTGGAGAGTAATCCCCATCACAATTATTGGAAGTTCCCAATGCTGTATAAAGTTGTGACCTAAGCGTAAAAACAAAGATGCTTGGAGCAGAGCTTGGAATCCCACTTGGTATTGCCGATGGCGATGTGCTGGGTAACGTGCTTGGTTTCAAGCTAGGAGATGCGCTCGGCAACAAACTTGGCCTAGAACTGGGATGCATGCTTGGTCCTGAGCTGGGATGCATGCTTGGACCGAAACTTGGTAGTAAGCTAGGCAATGCACTGGGAGAATTACTTGGAGCAGCACTTGGTACTTGGCTTGGACTCCCACTGGGAATTGGTGACGGTAACTTGCTGGGCAATGTACTTGGTTTCAAGCTAGGAGATGCACTTGGTAACATGCTTGGCCTCGAACTGGGATGCATGCTTGGGCCAAAGCTGGGATGAATGCTCATACTTGGACCGAAGCTTGGTGTTGAGCTAGGCAATGCACTGGGAGAAATGCTTGGAGCAGTACTTGGTTCCCGGCTTGGACTCCCACTTGGTATTGGCGACGGTAATGAGCTGGGTAACGTACTTGGTCTTGAACTTGGATGCATGCTTGGACCGAAACTTGGTATTGCGCTAGGCAATGCACTGGGAGAAATACTTGGAGCAGCACTTAGAGCATCGCAAAAAGGCCCCTTGGGACTAACCGTAAGGTCCGGATCAGTGGTTGCAAAGCATGAAGTTCCTACAAACATGTCTACTTTGAATGCTGAGGTGCTGGTGATTTTGGTACCCCAAATGTTCAGGTCTTGGTTGAAGACAGTTGCTCCCTTGAACATGGAGCCCAGGTCAAGGACAGAACTGACATCCCAACCTGATACATCAACATTGAAACTTGAGGCACCATTGAACATGAGTCCTGTGCTTGTGACTTGACTTGTGTCCCAACTAGACAAATCACCATTGAACAGAGTAGCACCCCCAAACATGGAATACATGTATGTGACCTTGCTTGTGTCCCAACTAGACAAATCACCATTGAAACTGGTTGCTTGATAAAACACCTGTGACATTAAAGTGACCTGGCTAGTATTCCAACTGGAAATATCCTCATTGAAGGCGCTGCAACTTTGGAAGATCTGGGAGAAGTCTGAAACTCTGCTTACATCCCCTATTGATAAAGCAAAATTGAAGGAGTCAGCCAACAGACAGCAGTGACACATCATCGCAGCTCTAGAAGGAATCCCGTCAATACTCACAAGTTGCTATTGCACCTTTGAAATGCAAACATGCATGAATGTTTTAGATAGGATAGTAAAATCACTGCTGGCAACCGGAATCACCGCAACTTACCATAGGGTCCCGTTGAAGAGTAATCTCCATCACAATTATTCGAAGTTCCCAATGCGGTATAAAGCTGTAGCCATGATGTAAAAATAAAGCTTGGACCTGAGCCTGGACCCCCACCTGGAATTGGCAACGTGCTTGGTCTCAAGCTAGGAGATGCACTTGGTAACACACTTGGCCTCGAACTGGGATGCACGCTTGGCCTTGAGCTGGGATGTATGCTTGGACCGAAGCTTGGTATTGAGCTGAGCAATGCACTGGGAGAAATACTTGGAGCACCACTTGGTACCTGGCTTGGACTCCCACTTGGTATTGGTGACGGTAATGAGCTGGGTAACGCGCTTGGTTTCAAGCTGGGAGATGCGCTCGGCAACGTGCTTGGCCTCGAACTGGGTTGCATGCTTGGCCTCGAACTGGGTTGCATGCTTGGCCTCGAACTGGGTTGCATGCTTGGCCTTGAGCTGGGATGCATGCTTGGACCGAAGCTTGGTATTGAGCTAGGCAATGCACTGGGAGAAATACTTGGAGCAGCACTTGGTACTTGGCTTGGACTCCCACTTGGAATTGGTGACAGTAATGTGCTGGGTAACATGCTTGGTTTCAAGCTAGGAGATGCGCTTGGTAACATGCTTGGGCTTGAACTGGGATCCATGCTTGGCCTCGAACTGGGATGCATGCTTGGTCCTGAGCTGAGATGCCCACTTGGACCAAAGCTTGGTATTGAGCTAGGCAATGCACTGGGAGAAATACTTGGATTTGAACTAGGACCTTCACTTGGCGAGCTGCTACTCTGAGTCGGAGAAAAGCTCAGAGCAGCGTATGGTACTTGGCTTGGACTCCCACTTTGTATTGGTGACGGTAAAAACATGCTGGGTAAGGCACTCGGTTTCAAGCTAGGAGATGCACTTGGGGGCATGCTTGAGCCAAAACTTGGATTGGAACTGGGTGCCACACTGGGATTTTCACTTGGTATCCTGCTTGGCTTAAAACTTGGATTTGAACTTGGATTTGAACTGGGACTTTCACTGGGTGAAGTGCTACTCTGGGTAGGGGAAAAACTTCGGTTCACACTTGGCTGTGTACTTGAGGTAACAGTTGGTGCACTTGAGGTAACAGTTGGTGCACTGTTAGGAGCTTTGGTGGGCCCCTTACTAGGCACCTTAGTTGGAGCTATGGTTGGGACTTGGCTTGGTGACTTTGTGGGAAATTCTGTAGGAGAACTTGTGGGGAGCAGCGCAGGAGCTTTGGTTGGTGCTCTGCTGGGTGACCTGGTGGGATCTTTGGTAGGAGCTCCAGTAGGCACTTTTGCAGGAGCTGTGGTTGGGGCTTGATTGGGCAATTTGGTAGGAACTTTGGTAGGAGCAACAGTAGGCACTATTACTGGAGACACGGTTGGGGCTTGACTGGGTCGTTCTGTTGGAGGTTCTGTAGCTCCTACAGTAGGCACTTTTGTAGGAACTTTTGTAGGAACCATGATTGGAGCTTGATTAGGTTGTTTGGTGGGCACCTTGGAAGGTGAATTCGTGGGAGCCTTGGTTGGAACCTGTGTTGCTGGAGATTTGGTTGGTGCCATGGTTGGGGATGTGTTAGGAACCTTTGTGGGATTTTCCGTCGGTACATTGGTAGGGTCTCTGGTTGGTAAAATTGTGGGAAACTCAGTGGGAGCTTCAGCAGATTTATCTGTAGGAAAATTTGCAGGATGCATGGTAGGCACCTTAGTAAGGGAGTTGCTTGGTGCTTTAGTGGGGGCTTTGGTTGGAGACATAGTTGGTGGTTGGGATGTCATGTTCGATGGCACATTTGAAGGAGCCATTGATGGCATCGTACTGGGCAACTTGGTTGTCTTTGCTGTCGGGGGTGCTGATGGAGCATGGTATGGGACTTCTGTGGGTTGATCGGCTGGAGCTTTGACGGGAGTGATGCTAGGGGTTTCCGGAGTAACTGTTGGGATGGGGGTGGGGGTGCCTGTAGGAGACATTGTGGAAGCGACTGTGGGTGCTGCTGTTGGGGGCTCAGCAGGACTGACAGTCGGTGCACCAGACGTAACCGTCGGTAGAGAAGTTGGAGGGATTCTGGTTGGTGAATCTGTTAGTGATATTGTGGTTGGCATAGTTGTGGATCCAGTGGGAAAACTAGTTGGTGATGGGGTTGGAGACCTTGTGGGAGTACCTATTTCAAGAGTGTCACTCACTCTAATTGCTACAGCAGCATTCCCTTGCATACCACTGTTGAAACCCCCCATGAAAGCTGTGGAATCATCCAATGTGCGAAATAGACTTCCAATGGATAGCTGCCTAGTTCGAACAATGAATTCAATCACAGCTGATGGTGATTGCTGGAGCCTTCTTCTTGTGAAACGCCTGGCTGGGACAACAAGATTGAGGTCTTCTGCACATGAATTCTTTGAAAGAGAATTGTAGCCAGAGGAGAATGCTATTGCAAGATCTTGATCAGAAATTGTTGTAACATCACCAGCAAAGTAAACATAATAGTTCCTTTCATTTGTGATAGATATATCATTGCAAGTGATACTTGGAGCCAGCGATGGAATAATGGATGGTGTTCCAGTGGGTGCATCAGTGGGGCTAGCAGTGAGCTGACCCGAAGGAGCATCTGGCATAGGAGTAGGATTGGGGATTGGTGGCAGTGATGGTCCCTTTGTTGGTCCATTGGTAGGAGAACTCGTGGGACTGCCACTGGGTCTTCCGGATGAAACTGTTGGAAAGGGAGATTGCTCTTCCGTTGGATTGAGTGTTGGTTGAAGCGTTGGCTCTGTTGTTGGTTGAAGCGTTGGCTCTTCTGTTGGCTGGAGGGTTGGTTCTGTTGTTGGTTCATGTGTTGGCTCTTCTGTTGGATCCTCTGTTGGCTGGAGTGTAGGCAGGGCTGTTGTTTGGAATGTTGCTTGTTGTGTGAGCAATGTAGAGGGCCCCATTGTTGATTTGCTTGTTGGCATTGATGAGGGTGTCTCGGTGCCTTGTAATGATTGTGGTGGTGTGGGAAGTTTTGTTGGAACAATATTCGGTTGTGGTGTTCGATCATGATTGTCACCTTGAGATGAAGGTGGTGCCACACCCTGGTTATTGGAAAAGGAATTGAGCCCAATCACTGAAGCAGGTGACAAACTGACAGTGGCAACTGGAACTGGGGTATTTTGGGTAAGGGACAATGTTGAGAAGCTTCCTTCTCTGTTTGAAAAAGCCAGAAGTCCTATGGCAGTACTTGATGTCAGAGTTCCCCTTGTACTCGGTGTCAGAGTCCCATCTTTGCTAGGTGTCAGAGTCCCATCTTTGCTAGGTGTCAGAGTCCCACCTTTGCTTGGGGTTGATGCAACTTGAAGTGGCACAGCTGATGGACTGGCAATTATGTGTGAGTCGAACAGAGTGGGGGACATGTTTGGTGCCAACAATGATGGGGCAATTGCTGGGTGTGCCTGGACGGAGCTAGGTTTGTAGATTTTACTTGTGGTGGGAACAACAGCACTCGGTATAGATGGATCTGAAACTGTTGGGCCTGCTTGAATAACATCAACCATCCAAGAAATTGCATTTGGTTTAACCACTGTTGGCTGAAATGATGCAGTTGGTGAAAGAAAACCGCTTGGGATTGTAGAACCTAATGGATTGGAGGCCGCGATTGCTGATGGCGAACTAGCTGTGTCTGTAGGAGTGATAACCTCCACTGGGCTTGAGCCAGAGGGGCTGGAAGCCACATCCAAAACTTGAGTAGGATACTCCAATGGGCCGCCTGCAGTTGTGGGGGCACCAAGCCCATTTGAGTTAGACGTAGAAGACTCCTGACTGCCAGGAGCTCCAACAGGTCCTGTCTGGCTTGTCAATTCCTGTGAAGAGGGAAGTATTCCTACAACAGAATCCATACCTGCTGCAACTGGACTTTCTCCTCCATCAGAAGTTCCAGCTACAATTGGCATCTTGTTGGGTACTTCTTCTCCCAGATTCTCCGTGATTGATGAGGGGCTGCTTCCAGTTGGTTCTTCCCCTAAGCTTCCAGAAATGTTGGATTCATCAGCTTCTCCAGAAAGAGAAGCTTCATCAACCGAGTCCGCTTTGTTGTTAGCAACAGTTTCTAGAGCAGTGGTCAGAATGTCTTGGCAAGATGGGTTGGTTGGGGTCTCCAGGCATGCAGCCAAGGCATCCAGATTTATGGGTGCTCTGTCTTCATTGTTCTCACCTGTGATGAGCTGCATCAGGTCATCACAAACTTTTGCGATTCCCTTGTGAACTTCTTGGTCCACCTCATCTGAGAGACATTGTGAGAGCGACGATAGCTCATTTGAGATGAAAGGAGTCATGATCGTCCCTTGGTTCATTTCAACTGTTTCAATGAATGGCTGAATTGTATCTTGCCCTATGGACAGGACAATCACCGCAGCCTGATCTCCAGAATTCTCTGAAGGGGAGACTGCCTTGGTGGTGGCAAAAACATCCTGCATGGAGTTTTGTCTTCCTGATTGGGAATCTCCTGATGTTGTCAGCACTGGTTCAATATTGTAACCAAAGGAGGCAGCAAACAACGGAAAGAACTGGGATACTTCGATGGTTGTCTGTAGCTGCAAGCGTCTGGACAGGCTGGGAGCCATACTGGTGTTTCTGCCACTCATAGCAGCAGAAGCATTGGCTTGTTTGAAGGTTGTACTATTGCTGTTGATGTTGCTGTTGCCTGTGCTAGTGCCACCAGAACCTTCCTCACCACCTTCCGGCAGTTGGAAAAGTGGCTCATAATCAGGACATCCATCACAAGCAATAGTGGCAATCCAAGATGTTGTGGTAACTGGTACAATCACCTGTGTCAGTGTCGCATTGGTTGCATTGTTAGATGCCCCGGTTGCGAACTGTTGTGAAACATCTTCCAAGAAAACCACACTGTCCTCTGTACTCCAATTTTGAAGCTCCGCCTTGTGCAATACCCGCGAGAAAGGATCCAAGCACATTCCTGTGATATTGTTGTAGAGGTCTCGAAAAATCCTGGGGAACAGTGTAGAGTTGAGTACTGGAAGCACCAACAAAAGAGGAAAAATAGATGATGCTTACTCTTCTATCTTCTCTCTGTGCTGCGGCAAAGAATCCTCTGGCATACCCTGAATTTTCAATTCCACAAGACCTTGCTTAATCTGGGAGGTAAGCGAACAGGATGGAGGTACAAAATCTGTGCCTTTCACCACAGGAGCAGTAGCATTTGAGCGGGTTTCCTGGTTTATGACTACACCACTGCTCACTGCGGCAGCTGCCACAGCCGCAATGCCAACAGTCACCCCAATTTGGGATACAGCACTAGCAGAGGCTATGGCACTGACAACTGTGGTTGCTGTACTGGCAGTCGTGGCAGCTTGCATGGGAATCAATATATTTCAACCAACACGTGAGGAGACGGATTGTCGCGATCACCAAAGAAGACGGCATCATACAGGACATACAGACACAACTTACCTGCCGCAGAAGCTGCTGAGGCTGAGGCTCCTACCGCACTAACCGCAGCCTGAGTTGCCATTTGGCTGACTACTGCAGTTGCCTGGGCTGCTCCTGTGCCGGATGCAGTTCCCACACTGGCACTAGTTGAGGCACCAGCTCCTCCCGTGCCCGATGCCCCACCACCACTAGCCCCACTTTGGCCCATCTGAGTGGTTTGGCCAAACTGAGAAGTTGCCAGCTGATTGCCTGTCGATGGGTCCATGATATCAACAACCTCTAGGGCAGCATCTACCTGTTCATCAGAATCTCCACCCCTCATTTTCCTCATGATGCATTTGAAGCACACAGCCAGCATGGCCATGATATGCTGGAAGAATCCATTCCTGACATGATCCATAGCCAAGTCAAACATGCTTTGGTGAATTGCTGCCTCCCTTCCAGAATGGATGTCGCCACTGGTTAGGTCTTCATCTTCATCGAAGCTGACACTGCCAAACTCTTCCTCACTTTCGACGACCTTAGGGTCATGCTCGATTATCTCGTCACAGGCATCATGAAACTCATTATGTAAGTCTTTCACTGGCACTGGGCAGTGGGAACCTACAGCCGGCGTGGACTCATTGTCTTGCTGCTCCTTACTGATGGGCTCATGGTTTTGATTCTCAATGTCATCCTCGGGGTCATTTCGGTTGCAGCGGTCTTCCGGTGCCAGTACCATGGTGGTTTGATGGAGGAATAGATCTCCTTCCAGCTGATGATGTCCACAACTCGAACACAGCCTCCCAGTCCTATGTCTCCTTACTAGCTCGATGTGTGGTTGTTGGCTTGTATGTTGCTGGGTATGGTGGTCAATCGGATAGTCGTGTGCAAAGTGGCGGGTTTGCTTCGTCGTTTTTTTGTTTTTTGTTAATTGTTGTGCGGTGTAGTTTCTGATACTCGAAGGGAGGGTGGATCAAAAAGTTCACCACAGCAATTGTCGCGACAGAGGGAGCAAAAAGTGCCTTGGTTGAATCGAAACGTGAAGTTGAGTGGCCATTGATGACCTTTCGGCTTCGCATCTGAATGTTCAATCTCCTTGTCTGTCCCATTCTTTTTCTTTTCGATCGATATTCCACTTGTACGGTACCATCTGGATGCTCGACTGTGACTGAGTCACTCCATGGACAAAAGCGGCGACTGAGTCAGTCACTCGGACCCATTTGAGTTCGCTTTCAAAGTTTCATCATCTCGACCGGTGTACAAATGGGTCATTGCGGTCAATACTTTTGACAGGTCTGGTACGAACTGCCACCTTTTATTAGTTATGATAAATCATTTTCTTAAGTGTAATAAAGGTTTCAGCGGTGGTGAAAGACTCCTTTTGTCTTGCTTGCTGGGAGACCAAAAACTGAAAAAACTGTACTCAGTACTTTAGGCCTTACTCCTAGACTAGAGTTCTCGAGTACAGTCGTACCTCTACCGTAGTGACACCATATTATTATGCATCGATGTACAGTAGTTTTTTTAAATGACGTTGAAGGAAGGTGAGGACTTAACAAATAAAACTTCTAGTCAGCAACTGAGATCTACAGCTGTACTACACTCCAGAGGTTTCCGATGTTCTTTGTAATAGTTTGATTAATCGAACTGTGTGGTACCGCGGTAGGCATACCGTACGGTAGCTACAGTAGTCGCTGACTACCGTACGATGGAAGTAGAGAGCTCTGGTGGGCTGAACAGAGCCTTTCGGCTGCCGTTGTTTTCTCTCTGCTCCACGATGGGCGAGTGGTCTAGACTACTGTTTGTGTGTTGATGGTGCGGGTCGTGATTGAGTGTGGTTAGGCTACGAACGGAACCAACATTTGCTCATCGAGTCAGTCGGCCTGTGGTTCTGGTTAGGATGAACAGACTAGCTAGTCTTGAATGTGGGAAACAACAGCAAAGTCCAGTCTGTCGATCGATTCAAAGCATCGGCAAGGTATGAAACAACAAGGAAAAGACGCACTCTACGCGATTCAGTACCGTTCATGCAGTTGCTGCGGTGCTGCGGCTGGACAGAAAGAGATCGAGCTGCAAGACTTTCGGCTAGCCAAAGTGATCGTTGTCGCACAACATGATGTTCTACCGTACCGTACAACCAACTCCACTTGGATGGTCAATGCATTTCTCTTCTTATCAGTAATCGGCACAGTACAGTACCGCTGGTGGACCGAATCCTCGCACTTCTACTATGAGCCAGTGTGCCTGCACACTGGCTCATAGTAGAAGTGTGCCTGAGTCGATTCGATTCGATTCGATTCGATTCAATCGTACATGTAGATCTCTGGTGGAGAAGCAGTGGCTGATGTTGATCTGTTCGATCATCACACATGCCAAGATGACGCTCTGTTAACGTCAGCACACCCTGTTGGTCAGCAGCGTTAACGCCAGCACACCCTGTTCCTCAGCAGCGTCAAAAGATCCTCGTCGATGACAAGTCATTGAAATTATGGCAACAGTCGGGGGAGGCTACACGACAACAACACGCGAGAGAGTGGATTTGAAAAGGAGCGAACCAATCAGGAAGCTATACGTACTTCTTTTGGCTCTGCTCATGCATTGCAGGTGTAACCCAATCCACAATCACCGTCGGGCCATTTATTTTGCCCACAACACGATCTTTCAATTGGATTGACTTTCTTGGAGCGTGTGATGGCTTTAGTAGGATTTCTTGTTGCCTTCCTACTAATGGAGTACCATGGACCGATCGACCAGGTCTATATATAGGGTTTCCCAAGGCCGGATCTGATCTCAGCCTTCTTGGGAACCATATGTCCAAGCTTCTGCGAGGACTTCTTGGTCAGTTGACATGTGGGGCGGCCACGACTGCATAGTCTTTTGACAGTGTTGCCCAATTCCCTTCCAACAGTAATGTTGGTCTATAATAGTGAGCTTGGTTCGAGTCTCTCCAGGGTGTAGTAGCAGCTCGTGATACCACTGCATGGGTAGCTTTCTTTTGTAGTTTCTGAGGGACGACAATCTTGTCTTCTATCATGACTAGGTCAAAAGTCTTGCCTGCGTGGTGGAGACTCTTCTTTTCATAAGGAGGAGTCAAGGTCTTGTCTTGAAGACAGATGATGATACAGTAGAAAGATCCTTTCCGTGCTCGTGTGCGACTTTGGCATGAGACAGAGGAAACTCCATAGATCATGCTGATCCACATTTCCTAATCGGACCTCGAGGAATGCTAGTTCCTCGTTCAGCTGTTCAACCAATGTGTTCGACAGTGGAGCTTCTTCCATCATGTCGAGTGGACTTAGAGCATTTTTTTTGAGATAGCGCAAGTCGGGACCGTACTCTTCGAGTATGAGTCTCCATCGCATAACACGTTCAGTGTCAAAGTTCTTGCAGGTAACAACTTGGCTCATCTCTTACTCCAACAATGGTTTCTACTGTGGGATGACTGCAATGCAGCCAGGCATGGACGTGATAAACAGCAGCAGTGGATCAAGAAGCAGCAACAGCTTCAACGGGAAGTAGAGCTTCTGTATGAGCAGGCAGACCAGGTGCCACTGTCTCTTGTTAACTCCATTTTCAAAAGGCCACTAGAGGACCAAATGGAAATGGCACCGTCCGATATCAAAGCCTGGCTTTCAAATTGGATGCCAGTGGTGGACAAAGCAAGCAGAGAGCAGTAACAACTGGCCGCAGCCTTCCATGAGGCAGCAGCAACTTTGGATCAGGCTTTCGGGTCTGACCTTGATTTAGATGACAGCAGTGTTGACACTATCAGCAATAGTGCAGCTAGTAGCAGTGCTGATGACAGCAGCAGCACGGGCGGGTCCGGTTGGTGACCTTCCCCCTTAATATCTTGCCTCGGTTGGGTTTTAAACTTCCCGGCTGAGGGGGCCAACTCTCTCCGCCCCAATGTTTGTGGGGGTTATCGGTTTAGGGTAGCGGCACGGTGGACAGTTGTACTCAGAGTAGCCTTAAAATAGAGTTCTATTTATAAAGTTCTTGCAGGTAACATTTTTGTGATCGGTATGGACAACAATCCTTTGCCCTAGCTAGTAAGATGTTGCCTTTCAGAGTTTCCACAATCAATTGATAACAACTCACATTCTGTGGTGGTTGTATAACGAGTCTGCTCTGGTATGAGCTTGCGACTGTAGAAGGCAATGGGAATTCCTTTCTGGGAAATCAGTGATCCTAACCTCGGCAGTCTTGCTGCCAGAGCCCTCAACCCCTTTGATTGTTTTTCCTGCTACGGTGGTCCCTGCAGGTATAAGGGTAGGGTTAGAATACAAATAAGTCAGCAAAAACTAAATAAGTATCCTAGGATGGTGCTTTTACACCAGCTAAAGCTATTTACATGCATTCTAGTAGGGGGGTCTGCTTCTACCAGGAAAAACTCAAAGCCAGCGAAAGCTATATAACTAGTATTCTAGCTAGCTAGGGTATCTGCTTCTAGCTTGCTATGGGAATCTGCTTCTAGCTAGGGGGAATCTGCTTCTAGCTAGCTAAGCGCAAGTTAAGCACTAGCTAAGCACTAGAGGTATCTGCTTCTAGCTAGCTAGCTAATAGGGGTATCTGCTTCTACACTGAAACCTTTTCTGCCGAAGTTACACAGCTCCGCTGGCTTAATTGAGCATGACTCGCATCAGTGTGAATAACGAATTCCTTTTAAAGTTGGGATAAGCTTTAGAACAGTGTCTCTGTGCTGATAACTGATAACCTTCTTCATGTCTCGAAAGGCTTTTTCTTCTGCATCAGTCCATTTCCATTTGACTGTCTTCAAAGCAAGTCTAGCGAGAGGAGCCAAGATACATGTGTGATCGTCTGACCCACATGTCTCCGTAGTAATTTATCAATCCGATATATCTTTTTGTTTTTAGGTTGCTTGCTCCTTAAAATTCTTAGTCACGGCTTGAATACCTCCTCGAGTAATCCAATACTACTTTATGTATTCCAACTCGGATAAGAAATACACTGACAAGCACAACACTCACCCAATGCTCCAAACACTTCTTCTCTCAGCACTCCAGAAAGTACTCGATGGACAAGATACCACAGGAATTGAATACGATGACAGTGCTGCCGATATCGCAAACGCCCAAGCAGCCATCGGTTGGGATCAGCACCTCAAGGGACGACTATACAAACAGTGGCGCAACACCAGGATCAACACCTCAAGGAATGTAACCTTAAAACACATCCGAAAATGGCCAAACTTGGCTCACAGGGATTATTCAAGAATTGCTCATCCAGTGGTTCGAACTCTGGGAGGCCAGGAATCATGATCGGCTTGGCAAAGACGCACAAACCAAGGCACAAGCAGCCAACCGATAGGCTATCCACAAACTTCAGCTGCTATATGACAAATACACCGGAAACCTCAGACCAGAACAGGTGTGGCTTCTCCAAACACCAATCAACACACGATCCCAATGGCCCACAGCATCAATCCGGCAATTGATCATCTAGAGCGAGGATGTTGCATCGCTAACCTATTATGACTAGAGGTCATTGAGAACCCTGTCTCAATGACTTATTCGCAAAAGACTCAATCTTGAGTCAAACCCAAATCCCATCTAGGATCGAGTCGCGAATAAGGCTAAAGGCCGTGTATTGCATTCACCTCCTGACAAGGGTCAACGGAGGCACGACAGCAGGACAAGGAGAACATATGAATCAAAGTGCGGGGCACTCTCCAGAGATTGGATGCAGACATGTGCATCGCATGATAGTCAATCCTACAAGGGGGATCAAGCCTTGTATGGGTGAAGATACGTTATGTTCCAAGTCTGGTAGACTGTTTCGCCATTAGCAGTGGCATGTCGGAGCTGAAAGTTGCCATTGTCATTGACTGGTGGCAAGTGACGGGGCTGCAGATATCTCTGTCGGAAAAGCGAGTTTTGCATGGGTTTTGGCAGACCAACTGGGTCATATTGTGCTCAGATATTCTGGACCAGTGTTTGGGCTGATTCCGACGTCCTAGCGTGCGGAGGCATATGGTATTTTGTCCCCTGCCTGCTTCCTGAAAAGGCTTCTGCAGGATTATGCCCAAACTACTCTGGCACCATACACGCACTTTTTCCACAATGAGTCAGTACAAAACAAGGGCAAGATTTGCCTGGATTATATCGGTTGGTATCCAAACAATTCTCTGGTGTCCGACTGGGATGTCCTCCAAAAGATTGAGCGGTCCCTAAAATGGAACATATCAAATCCCACAAATACAAGTCCCGCGCCATTGAAACGCTGCCGCTGAAGGCTCAGCTCAACTGTCGGGCTGACAAGCTTGCTGGCAGTTTCATGAAGCGGCATTGGCTGTGGATCACTCCAGAGTTCTTCGGTTCCATGTCAACCTTGCACAGCTGCACCTGCCCAAGGGCACATGCACTTACAAATTACCCAGAACATTGCGACACCTGCGCAACAATCAACCACTGCTGGATCACATGATCAAGCAGAATCGGGACTGGGACGAGGATACGCCAGTATTGATTCATTTGGTGCCACACGGGAGGGCAATCAACCGACACGAGGCACACAAGCCAACCATCGTGAAGTTTCTGTTCCAGCTGCTGTCGGTGGGCAAGTTGACTTGGTGCACAGGGATGACCCAAATATGATCACAAGTGCCTCAGGTGTGGCTGTGACAACGAATCGGAAGCTCATGTCTACAGGTGCCCGAATGTTGATGTGGAACTGTGGCGGGGGGTGAGGTCATCCAACCGGATCCGACGAGCTCCTGAATTGTAAGGTAGCATGCATGATAACATACAGCCACGACCTTGCCAACCCAGTCGTGTCCTTTCGGTTACTTAGGTATGCGTATGTATTTAGGAGAAAAACTACATACAGAAAGTTTACGGATTGCTAAGTACAATCTCATTTTATAAGATCGAGCCACTCCAGAGCCCAGAAACTGTCAATTGGAACCTCAGAAGCCACATTTTTGATGGTGTCTAGTACATTCTATATGCTAAAAAGTAACGTCTGCAAGCTACCAGTTGATTTGTACCTATCTACAAATGGCTTGGTATCGTTGTGAGTACTGTGATGATTGGTTTAAGAACCAGAGAGCTCTATCAAGTCACATACAAGCCTATCAACCTTGTATTGAGGCACGGAACAGAGTGCTGGGCATTGACACTGGACTAACAAGAAGGAGTAGATCCAGGGCAAGGGCTGCAGATCTAGGTGCTACTGACACTGGGAGGCCCGCAAGGGCACCAACACCAACAACACAGGAAGAGGAAGAATCCAGTCAGGACATT